CAAACAAAGTTTAATTTTGGACCCCAATTTGGACCAACTTGAAAACTGGGCCAAAAATAAAAAATCTAAATGCATGTTTAGATTCAGCATATCAAAGAACCTCATATATTCAATTTTTGCTAAAATCAAACAAAGTTTAATTTTGGACCCTTTGGACCTTAATGTAGACCAATTTGAAAACTGGACCCAAAATTAAAAATCTGAATACACTGTTAGATTTGGCATAACAAATAAATAAATGTGATCAAAGATTTTACAAATCTAATGCGCCATACTGTGCAATTAAAGATTACTTCTTGAAATTTTTCAATATTTGAAATTTGAAAAAAAAAAAATATTTGAAGAATAATTCTTTTTAATTTCTGAAATCTGAAATGAGAAAAAATTGACCCCCCACAATTTCTTTTTTTCCCCCAAAAAATTCTTTCCCTCAAGATATGGTCATAATCTCAATTCAAATTTCCAATGGAGTTGGCAACCATAATTACCCAATTAAATTTACCATAGTGCTAACTTAATCTATTTTATAATAGAATTAAAAATATAGTGTCAAATCTTTCATATGGATTTTTTTGTAAAAAAAAAAGATGCAACATTTGCAGATATTTTTACTGGTTTTCCTTTATAAATATGCATTTCTTTAAACATAATTTAAAAGCAGTGTAAGGGAAGTAACCAAATCGTTGTATTTGGATTACCTCCCTTACACTGTTTTAAATTATCTTTATTGTTCATTAACCATTACTTTATACATAATTTAAAAGCAGTGTAAGGGAGATAATTTCAATGATGTATTTGATTTATCTCCCTTACACTGCTTTAAATTATGTTTTGTACTAAAGTATTTGTCCATTAACCAGGACAACCTTGTTTTTCCCCCTTTTTTGCCCCTAATTCCTAAACGGTTTGAGCCATAACCCCCCAAAGCAAATCCTAACCATCCCTTTGTGGTATGGAAACTTGTAGTATAATTTCAGAGAGATCCATACACCGTTCCACAGTTATAGTCTGGAAACTAGAAAATGCTTATTTTTGGCCCCTTTTTGGCCCCTAAATTCCTTAACTGTTGGTACCATAACCCCTAAAATCAATCCCAACCTTCCTTTTGTGGTATTTAACCTTATGGTCAAATTTCAAAAAGATCGATTCACTTAAACTAAAGTTAGAGTGCGAAAACCAATGTGTCTTCGGACGACGATGCCGGACGACGACGACGACGACAACGACGCCAACGTCATAACAATATACGACCACAAAATTTTTTTGCGGTCGTATAAAAATGCTTATTTTCGGCCCCTTTTTGGCCCCCTTATTCCTTAACTGTTGGTACCATAACCCCCAAAATCAATCCCCACCTTCCTATTGTGGTATTGAACCTTATGGTAAAATTTCATAGAGATCCATTCACTTAAACTAAAGTTAGAGTGCGAAAACCATTGTGTATTCGGACGATGACGCCGGACGACGACGACAACGACTTCATAGAGATCCATTCACTTAAACTAAAGTTAGAGTGCGAAAACCATTGTGTATTCGGACGACGACGCCGACGACGCCAACGTCATACCAATATACGACCTCAAAATTTTTTTGCGGTCGTATAAAAATGGAAGAAAAAATAATAAGAAAAAATTAAAATGTATTTTAAAAAAAGTAAATGTCACAAATATACCCCAGAATTGGTGACTTGTGACTTTAAATATTTTTTGTATATTTTGGTTTTAATACCGGTAGGTGTTTTTGGTATAGACCCAATAATAGGTTAATTCAGTTGGGGGCGTAACGATAGTGAGTCGACCCTAAATAGAAAAATAAAATTTATTTGAATAATAAATGTCGAATTATAAAAAGAATTAACAATAACAATAGTATAATGTCTGAAGTATTTATATTTCGAAGTTCTGTGGTATATTTTTGGTGTTCTGTGGTATTCTGTGGTGTTCTGTGGTAAAAAGACGCTCCCGATTATTAAAGAAAGACAACTCTTACTTCGAACATTTCTGGACAAAATGTTACTTGAATCAGTGATTTAGAAATCATTCATTTAAGTAATTCCCCCAACTGTTAACCTTAGAATGAGTTGTTTTTTAAGCTCTCAAAAGGGTTTATCGGTTTTCCAAACTTTTGGTCTCAACTATACCTGATGGTTTATTTACCAAGATTGAAGAAAAAAGTGGATTTGGTAAATTCAAATTTACTGTTTTAAACACTCATCGACTCACCAAAATTTTGAAATATAGACTTGGATTCACCCATGTATATGTCAAACTTGGATTCACTCATGTATATGTCCAATAAGAACACTGTATTTTCCTTAACAATTATTAATAAAATGCTTCGCTGGGCGCAGCTTGATACGACCGCAGAGGTCGAACCCTGAACAGTTGGGGCAAGTATGGACACAACATTCAAGCTTGATACAGCTCTGAATTTGGATTGTGATTAAATATTTGACACAGCATAGGTTTCTGACACAGAAAGAATGTGGTCTAAGAACTTCAATTTTTTTAATTTACCTATTATGGTCCAATGTCCAAAATCAAAATACATGGTTAGATTCAGCATATCAAAGAACCCCATATATTCAATTTTTGTTGAAATCAAACAAAGTTTAATTTTGGACCCCAACTTGGACAAACTTGAAAACTGGTCCCATAATCAAAAATCTAAACACATGTTTAGATTCAGCATATCAAAGTACCCGAAGAATTCAATTTTTGTTAAAATCAAACTAAGTTTAATTTTGGACCCTTTGGACCTTAATGTAGACAAATTTAAAAAACGGGACCCAAAATTAAAAATCTAAAAACACGGTTAGATTTGGCATATCAAAGAACCCCAATTATTCAATTTTTGATGAAATCAAACAAAGTTTAATTTTGGACCCTTTTGACCTCAATATGAACCAATTTGATAGCGGGCCCACAAATAAAAAATCTAAATACATGGTAAGATTCAGCATATCAAAGAACCCCATATATTCAATTTTTGTTGAAACCAAACAAAGTTTAATTTTGGACCCCAATTTGGACCAACTTGAAAACTGGGCCAAAAATCTAAAATCTAAATTCATGTTTAGATTCAGCATATCAAAGAACCCCAAAAATTCAATTTTTGTTAAAATTAAACTAAGTTTAATTTTGGACCCTTTGGACCTTAATGTAGACCAATTTAAAAAACAGGACCCAAAATTAAAAATCTAAATACACAGTTAGATTTGGCATATCAAAGAATCCCAATAATTCAATTTTTGATGAAATCAAACAAAGTTTAATTTTGGACCCTTTTGACCTCAATATGAACCAATTTGATAGCGGGCCCACAAATAAAAAATCTAAATACATGGTAAGATTCAGCATATCAAAGAACCCCATATATTCAATTTTTGTTGAAATCAAACAAAGTTTAATTTTGGACCCCAATTTGGACCAACTTGAAAACTGGGCCAAAAATCTAAAATCTAAATACATGTTTAGATTCAGCATATCAAAGAACCCCAAGAATTCAATTTTTGTTAAAATCAAACTAAGTTTAATTTTGGACCCTTTGGACCTTAATGTAGACCAATTTAAAAAACAGGACCCAAAATTAAAAATCTAAATACACGGTTAGATTCGGCATATCAAAGAACCCCAATAATTCAATTTTTGATGAAATCAAACAAAGTTAAATTTTGGACCCTTTGGACCTCAATGTGGACCAATTTAAAAACGGGGCCCAAAATCCAAAAACTTAATACACGGTTAGATTCAGCATATTAAAGAACCCCAAGAATTCAAGAATAAAACCCCATTGAAATTGATCAAGAAATAAGCAATTTATACGAAGTATCTTCTTTTGCACAATACTGTGCGATTGAATATTTCTTGCTATTGCGCAATACTGTACAATTGACAATTTCTTGCTATTGCGCAATATTGTGCTATTGGATATTTCTTGCTATTGCGCAATACTGTGCAATTGAAGATTTCTTGCTATTGCGCAATACTGTGCAATTGAAGATTTCTTGCTATTGTGCAATACTGTGCAATTGAAAATTTCTTGCTATTGCACAATACTTATTATATAATAATTTAAACATCCTGTTTGGTGTGTATCTCCTACCATATCATTATTATTTGCTTTTAAATATAAATCAGAAATAACCAACTTAAAATGGAAAATTTTAAAAGAAAAAAAAAAAAAAAAAAAAATCCCCCCCCCCCAAATTTTTTGAACCCCCTTATGATTCATCACCCCCAAACTCAATCCCAGCCTTCCCTTTGTGGTATGGTACCTTGCAGTACAATTTCAGAGAGATCCATACACTTGAACACAAGTTATTGTCTGGAAACTAGAAAAATGCTTATTTTTGGCCCCTTTTTGGCCCCCAATTCCTAATCGTTTCGGGCAATTACCCCCAAACTCAATTCCAGCTTTCCCTTTGTGATATGGAACCGTGTAGTACAATTTCAGAAATATCCAAACACTTACACACAAGTTATTGTCATGAAACTAGAAAAATGCTTGTTTTTTGCCCCTTTTTTGGCCCCTAATTCCTAAAATTTTGAGGCAATTACCCCCAAAATCAATTACAGCCTTCCCTTTGTGATATGGAACCTTGTGGTACAATGTCAGAGAGATCCATACACTTACACACAAGTTATTGTCTGAAAGTTACAAAAATGCTTATTTTTGGCCCCTTTTTGGCCCCTTATTCCTTAACTGTTGGTACCATAACCCCCAAAATCAATCCCAACCTTCCTTTCGTGGTATTGAACCTTAAGGTGAAATTTCATGGAGATCCATTCACTTAAACTAAAGTTAGAGTGCGAAAACCAATGTGTCTTCGGACGACGCCGGACGACGACGACGCCAACATCATACCAATATACGACCAAAAAATTTTTAATTTTTGCGGTCGTATAAAAATCATATGGTATATTAAGTCAATCAAGCAAACATCTGATGTTCAAGTTGCACTTGTATAACATGTATGTTATGAAACATTAATACAATACCTTATGTTCCCTTTCGTATCTGCTCAATGTCATCATTGCAGAACAGAAATCGTTGCTGATTTTCCCAGCACCACATATACCCCAATTTAAAACCTTGTCTTCAGCCATACTTTCACGCCAAAAATAAATCTTAAAAATAAATGTCTCTTTACTTATCTATACCACAGCGCAAATTTAATATGACATTGGGTTCAACTAACATATTATACAAAATTTCTAGAGGTTCACTGTTTTTTTACACCTGCACTTGACTAATAGTAATAAACCTTTAGATAAACAAATGGTTATTCCAAGGCCAAGAGGTGACAAGATTTATAATACACAATGTCATTCACGAAAAGTTTGGTTGCTTATCAAGTGTTTTTGTTTCGTACACATTCCAGTTTTTTTTTCATCAGACCTGTAATAACAAAGAAATATAGCTATGTATTCACAGTGGCTGGATAAGAGCTCCTGGATAATGCACTTGCACCTGTTATGTGTTATCAATCAGTAAATTGGAACATCAGTAAGATTTCATTTTGAATATGTAAGGATCAATTTTTATTTTCAGATAAATCCATTGATGTAAAACGTTTGAAAATGTTTAATTTTAAATAAATATTGATTTATATTTAACAATATCGTATTTTCAAATCTGAAATTAGTGAAATGTAGGGAATTTTTATGATAAATGAAATCTCTCCTTTATTCAATTTGTCTCGCATCTGGCGATAGCTTGCGAGAATTATGAAAATTGGAGATGGCGACAACCCGTCGCTCGCTTCTTCAGAGTGAAATAGGAGGTTCTCCGTCTCATAATGATCCTGGAAGAGAACTTTTCGAAGCTTGCAGAAATGGAGATTTGAACAAAGTAAAGAAGCTAGTCAATTGTCACAATGTGAACTCAAAAGATACAGCAGGGCGGAAGTCGTCTCCTCTCCATTTCGCTGCAGGTTTGTTTTCGTTTCAACATTTGAATTTTGGAAATCGCCCCCACCTTTAACCACCATACCCTTTTCAAGCTCCTTACAGTAATAAGACTTAAATTTAATACTGGAGTTAAAAACAGACTTTCTCCTTAAAAAATGGTAGAAAACTGAAAATATTGAAAACCAACTAAATGTGTTCTAATATAATTTTGCATATCACAGGCCACTTGTTTTGTTTGATGGTAAAAGACCCCTCCCTCTTTCTAAAACAATCAAATAACAAAACTGTATTCAGTAAACCTTTGAATTTACCACTTTACCAGTCACATGCAATATTATAAATAATTATTTTAGAATGAGTACATGTAGATAAAAATTATCATTTTTATACATTACAGGGTTTGGTAGAAAGGATGTAGTAGAGCATCTTCTTGAATGTGGTGCTAGTGTCCATGCTAAAGATGATGGTGGATTGATTCCCCTTCATAACGCCTGCTCCTTTGGACATGCTGAGGTTGTTCAGCTATTGCTAAGAAGTGGCGGAGATGCTAATGCAAGAGACAATTGGAATTACACACCTCTTCATGAAGCTGCTATCAAAGGGAAAATTGATGTTTGTATAGGTGAGTTGTTATTTCTGATATTTTTTATACATTTTTCTAATGGCTTTTATTTTAGCAGCAAGCTCTTTTCTTAATTATTTATCCTTAATTTCAATTATTTAAATACAAATGTAAAGTTTCAAACTTTTTATGTGAGTAATAATTTTCAGTTGATGACCAACACCAAAATGTCCTCTTCTTTTATAAACAGCATTTTTTTTTATTCTTTTCTTAATGGTAATTAAAGTACAGCTTGCCCAAATGTTTTTGAAATTTAAACCTAGGACTAAAACATTGAATTATCTATTGGTCCTAGTTTAAACACAATATCATGGACCATATTTATAATTATTTAATATAGGTCAAGTTTTGATGTTTTTAGCATTTAGCAGAAGCATAGCTACGTCTGGTCTAAACGCTCAGGCGTGCACTTGAACTTTTGTAAAAATAAAAAGAACTGGTTAAAAGCACATCGGCCTTGTAATTCTTTCTTCAACAGTTCAATGGCTTGTAATTGCAGTTTAAGTGACAAACTTTACTTTTCAGTCAAATGGTATCATACTATATATTTGTTCATTTTTTGTCAAAGTCTGAATCTACTGTGGATTCTACTCACTTTCCTTTTATTTAGTTTCAATATGTTGTTTGTATTTTTTGTTGAGCCCGCAAAAGCGAGACATAGCGATCCTAGATTCAACGGCGACATCAACATTTAGGTTCATAATGTGGTTAAAGTTTTTTTTTAAATATCAATAACTTTGTCAAACCTTCATAAAATTTTTCAGAAGTTGGACTGAGGCTTTTTATGATCAAAAGAGTATCCAGAGCATAAAGATGAAAATATATTTTTAATTTCCCCATATTTTACTGTTAAAAGGAGTTTTTTACTATTTCTAAAGTTTTAGATTTTTTGTCGATTGATTGCTTTACCCAACAGCTCCATTTTAACACATTTTACAGTAAAAGATTTGAACATGTATATGTTTTACTAAAACCAATGACCATTTGATTCCAAATCAACACAATGAATAAATTAAACATAAAAAATAAACAAATAAGACTCTTAAGAGTCTAAAGTATGTTGCTTTTGATGACCGAAATGGTATCTCATTCTCGATAACTTGTTAGCTTCCAGGGGCTTAGCCCCCTCGAAACCCACTACCAGGAGGTGTTTTGACCTCGACCTGCTGGGACCCTCAGACCCCTTGCCGAGGTTCAGGCAAACACTTAAAAATGGCCTATCTACGCCACTGTTTACTGTTAAAGAGTGATGTCCCTTAGTTAAAAAATCTTTGGAATAGCATCTTTTAAGTATTAAAGTACCATTTGACAATTTTTTGAACTCATAATATGCCTGGATTGTCCGACAAATCCAACAAATATACTGTGGATCAGACAAATATTTTGGCATTCATGGTCCAAATGTCTGCCCCAGATAATTTCAGGTGCCAAAATAGAAATAAAAACTTATTTCAGTATGATTTTTGGTGCCAACATCATATAATTAATCCATAAATGTTGTACCCACTAATTTTTTTGTTAAAATTAACAATTGACTGCTATTTATACATTAAAAAATAAGAAATTCTTAAAAACATTTTGTGTTTATTCTGCCTTGTATGCACTAAATACGGTATACCAGATTCATTAAGTTAAATCAGAACCTCTCTCAAGGAAAACCAAAAAATGCTAGCGAAGTTTGTTTTTGATGGCTTTGGTATTCACTTTTCAAGAGTTATGCCCTTATTTATCTCGAAAAATTCATGGGAATACATTGTCAAATGGGTTTAAAGAATATCTGTTTTCTTGAAATTTATGTGATATTTTATATTCTAATGCAATTAAGCATGTAACACCAATTTTGATTGGATGGCGTCTTATATCAATTCCACTGTTGAAGTCATGGGCAAGAACATTGCGTAATCGCAGTCCATGTAAAATTTGTATCTTCAAATAAAGTACCTTTATTCCTTAAATCTCCCTCATTCCTTTTCTTTGACTATAAATTCGTAAGGGTTCCCCGGAACCCAGTGTCTCGCCTACTTTTGCTGTTAGTCGCAGGCTCAACAAAAATGGGGAAAAAAATTCTTAAAAATTTTCCTCTAGATACTATATTTTGATTGTAAGAAGTTCTGTTCAAGTTTGGTAAAAATCCAAGAAAATTTATGAATCTAATAAATGTTTTAAAAACTTTAACTGCAGACTGTACGTAATTTTAAGTCCATTTATTAGTAATATATGAAAAAACAAGAAATAAATTTTTACTAAATTTCCTTCTAGATACTAGCTTTTGATCATAAACAAGCTTCTGTCCAAGTTTGGTACAAATCCAGGATAGTTTAAGAAAGTTATTAAAATTTGAAAAACTTTAACCACAGAGTGAATGTAATGTTAACTGGCAGAAAAACTAAGTCCATTTATGAGTAAAATACGGATAAACAGGATTTTTTTTTTACAAAATTTATTTCTAGATACTATCTTATGATCATAAACAAGCTTCAGTCCAAGTTTGGTTGAAATGCAGGATAGTTTAAGAAAGTTATCAAAATTTAAAAAAACTTTAACCACAGAGTGAATATTTGTGGCCGCCGCCGCCAACGGAATGTAGGATCGCTATGTCTGGCCTTTGCGACAAAAGTCGCAGGTTCGACAAAAAGGAATTTCATTTTCAGTTAGTTGGAAGTTTTTAATGAAACTTATAGCAGACTTTTTGGTTTCAAAGTGAATTTTAAATCTGCTTAAAACAAATATGAAATATATATTGAGTTACAATCCAAAATTTAAATACAAGTATATACATGTTTGGATGCCAGCAGTCCATTCATTTGATTAATGTCTGGATTGTGAAGATGTTTTATTGGATTAACACATAGTGAGTGGCAACAGTAGTGTCATACATGATTTCCCTCTGGCTAGGTTTCTGAATTAAATAATACAATTGTCATCAATACAAAATTATTGCCTTAAAAGTTGACATGATCATATATAAAACAAAAAAAATAAACTTTATTTTTCAATGTTACATTGAATTTGTACATTTATTTATTAATTAATTGCATTTTTCAAAAAGTTTAATGAAATCAGTAACAAACAACTAGACAAAGTTTAATTTTTATTTGAATATCATTTACATAAAATCCTTCAAATAAAAATATTGAAAATGTTTAAGAGGCCAAACAATTTTATATTAAATATTAATGATAGAAATTTAAAATACAAGTTTTATTAAATAATAAATGAAATGACCTGTGTCTCCCAATAAATATAACAATTAAATCTGTCATAGAAATAATTTGTTTTAAAATGGTTTTAAAAAATAATAGTTTAGTGAGTATTTTAAACTGAAATGATTCAATATTTTTAAGAGAAATAATAGTGAATGGCATTTCTTAAGAAGGTAAAATAATAGTAATAATTGTCAAAATAAAACCATATGCTAACAGCTAGTTAATGAAAGGGATGACAGCAAGACATCTATTTATAAATCAGTAGTTAAACGTTTATTTCACTTGTCACAGACCAGTTGTTTTTATTGCAATCATTGGTTAATAATTGAGTTATATAAGGTGATAAGAATTAATCAATTCATGTTCATTGAAGCATGTCAGATCAGTTTTATGGCCCTGCTGACACATGTCACCCAATGTCTTTGAGTGGTGTTTGTCACTTCAAGGTGTTCAGTGTTTGACCAGTGGTCAGATTTTGAACAAGACAAATTATGAGTGAATTTCAAGATGTAAAGTAGATTATGACAGTGTTAAACTGCAGTAAATACATGCAAAAATGGAATTTATTTGTACTGTGAATATCTTTCCATAGTGTGTTCTGTAAAGAGGAATTAAAAGTGATATTTGTATCGAATATATTTATGGATTTATTTAGTATTCACTGTCCTTATTTTAAATGGAAAATTAATTTGTAACCTTATTCATCATTGAAACTGTGAAATCGAAAATGAAAGTGAAGGGGAAACTACGGCCTGGTACACAGGGTTATAGCATGTATGACTTTAATTTATCTGACATTTCTAGTATTTATCCAGATAATTCTGTAAATTGTCCACCTTCTCCTTCAGTTTTGTTACAACATTGTGCTGATGCCAACATCAGAAATACAGATGGAAAAACAGCACTGGACCTGGCTGATCCTTCTGCAAAAGCTGTATTAACAGGTATGAAAAGTACTTAAATGGGACAAATATTTATGGTTGAACAAATTTGGAAGGATTAAATTATCGTATGTATGCATCTTCTGTAACCTGCAGTCTTCACGCTTAACCACAAGCCCAGCAGCCCAGGTTTGTAAAATTCTTTTCAGGTCTGTGTAGCCTGTCATTCACAGAGTTCAAACATTGAGCAAAACACTGCAATATTAATTTCCTCATTAAAAATAAGGGAAAGAATTCAGAAATGATCCCCTCTTATCATGCTTATTGATAGAATACATGACAGGAGGTTCAAAGGGAAAGTGAAAATTCATTTGTGGAATGTATACAACAAGATTTCATACAGGATGTCTATCAAACATCCTAATCAGAGATGTTTGCTGGACAACAGTTGTATGAAGACCAACAATACACTGAGGAAGTAAAGTAAATAAACATAGGTGTTTATCTACTATTATCTGATATTATTGATAAGGGTGTCATAACTAATGGTTCTTATAATCGTCCATTATCTTGATTTAATAGAAGAAATCTGTTTCTTATATCATAAAGTTCTGTCAGTAATGATATACAAGACAGATAGTGAATAATTCATCTTAATTGAAAATATATATGGAAACGTATAAAATTCTGCCATGTTCTTTTTATGGTAACATTTACAGATGTACAGAATGATCACATCCTCTGCATTAATTACTTATTTAAATTATCAGCATAAATATAAAGAACAGTTTGAAGACACAACCACTAAATTTAGATGGAAAAAAAAACACAAAAAGTTTAAATTACAAAAATGTATGAAGACATGAATATGTATTATGTTGTGTTGTTCTAAAGTAAGCAATTTTTTCAATATATGAATACCAATGAAATGTTTTAGAATGCCCAAAATATATAGTACATGTGACTGAAACAAATAAAACCATTTTTATGCCCCGCCGAAGCATAGGGGGCATTAAGTTTTACCTTGTCTGTCTGTCCGTAGTACGTACATCCTTGCGTCCCAAAATTGGTTTCCGTTCTCTAACAAGTTTGCCTCAACCAAATGTTATGAAACTTATACACAATGCTTATTACCACAATACACAGATCTAGTTTGCAGAAATTTGGTGGCGTCACTTTTACTGTTTAGAGTTATGCCCCTTTACAAATGGAAAAATTGCTAAATTTTTCATTTTTTTTTCTAAAAATATCAATGATGTCATTGTTCAAGTAATTTTTATACGATCGCAAAAAATTTTATGTGGCCAAAAAAGGGGCAAAAAACAAGCATTTTTCTAGTTTCATGATAATAACTTGTGTGTAAGTGTATGGATCTTTCTGAAATTGTACTTCAAGGTTCCATATCTCAAAGGGAAAGCTGGCATTGAGTTTGGGGGTAATTGCCCAAAACGTTTAGGAATAAGGGGCCAAAAATAAGCATTGTTCTAGTTTCCAGACAATAACTTGTTTTCAAGTGTATGGATCTCTCTGAAATTGTACTGCAAGGTACCATACCACAAAGGGAAGGCTTGGATTGATTTTGGGGGTAATTGCCTCAAAATTTTAGGAATTAGGGGCCAAAAAGGAAAAAAAAAAAGCATTTTTCTAGTTTCATGACAATAACTTGTGTTTAAGTGTATGGATTTTTATGAAATTGTACTACAAGGTTCCATATCTCAAAGGGAAAGCTGGGTTTGAGTTTGGGGGTAATTGCCCTAAACGTTTAGGAATTTGGGGCCTAAAAACAAGCATTTTTCTAGTTTCCAGACAATAACTTGTGTTCAAGTGTATGGATCTCTCTGAAATTGTACTGCAAGGTACCATACCACAAAGGGAAGGCTGGGATTGAGTTTGGGGTGATGATTTATAAGGGGGTTCAAAAAATTTGGGGTAGGGACTTTTTTTTGCTTTAAAATTTTCCGTTTTAAATTGGTTATTTCTGATTTTAATATAAAAGCAAATAATAATGATATGGTTTGAATAGGTAAATTAAAAATTTTTAAGTTCTTAGACCACATTCATTCTGTGTCAGAAACCTATGATGTGTCAAATATTTAATCACAATCCAAATTCAGTGCTGTATCAAGCTTGAATGGTGTGTCTTTACTTGCCCCAACTGTTCAGGGTTCGACCTCTGCGGTCGTATCAAGCTGCGCCCAGCAGAGCATTTTATTAAAATTAGAGTTATCTTCCTTTGTCCATGATTAAAATTGAATCAACCACAATCAATGCTTTATACAATGCAATGTTTAATTTTGCCTTCCACTGATAAAATACAGATCAAATTGAATTAGAGTAGTGTCAATTTAACCATTATTGAGTTCTGCCCCTTTATAAATCGAAAAATTGCAAAATTTTTAGTTTCAGTTCAGTAACTTAAGTTTGCCCCAACCAAACATGAAACCTATACACTATACTTATTACCACAAAACTAAGATCAAGTACAAATTTGGGTAGCATCACTTTTATTGTTCTTGAGTTATGTCCCTTTATAATGTTGTATGCAAGAGGAGGCATCATCTGTGTCCATGGGGCCACATTCTCCATTTATTTATTGAATAAAAAGCTGTCCAAGACATTGCATGGTGTTTTAATAATTAAAAGAATAAAAGATATGCAAATTCAAAACACATGACAGTTTCTTTATACTGTTGATGCTAAATTAAAAGGAAATGATAATTTTCAGGAGAGTACAAAAAAGATGAGCTACTGGAAGCTGCTAGGAGTGGAAATGAAGAAAAATTGATGTCCTTACTGACCCCATTGAATGTTAATTGTCATGCTAGTGATGGAAGGAAGGTTTGTTATAGAACTTACTACAAAATTAAGTTGAAAATGCATTTCAACAAATAAAGGGAAATAGACATAGATTAAGAAACAGATCACAAGACTAAAAAATTAAAAGCAAAAAAATGTAACAACATAAATAAAAAAATAAAGAACAAATTGACTCTATTCTGTCTTTTTTGCAAACTGTGTTTGTAAATATGTTTTTTTATTGGATGATATTGCTCCAATCAATCAACCTTTTAGTACATGTTAAAAGAATTTTTGCCTTGAAGTGTGTGTTGAATCTATTGTTCATGCTGTTTAAGAGACTGATAATATCTTTAGCTAGTAGCAGTTTTTGATGTTTCTTAATCTATTTCCTGAAGGTCAATTCTGTCTGTCATTAAAAATACATGTATTTCGGATTGAACAAAAAGCAGAAACATTGTAAAACATTTCATGATAATATTTTAGCAAAAGGGAAAACTACAGAACTGTTTGCTATCATGTAGTTGACTATCAAAGCAAAGAAATGAATTTTCTAGAAATAGCTGTACTTATTTACATGATGAAATGGATTTAATATTTTATAGTTAAACTTTTTCAATAAACATTTTCAGTCAACCCCATTACACCTTGCAGCTGGGTACAACAGAACGAGAATTGTACAGTTATTGATCCAACATGGAGCTGATGTACATGCTAAAGACAAAGGGTGAGAATATCTTATCACGACAAATATAAAGGAAAAACCAAATCTAGTATTTCATTTTGATCTCTCAAAACTTTTGTCTATCCTCAGGTAACTAAATCCCTGTATTATTACATTGGTAAGTGCTGAAGTCAAATTTATCATCAAGACTTCAGATGCAGAACCATGTCACATTATTTGTCACACTGTCCCTAATTTTATCTCATGATGGAACAACATTTTATAACATCTGACAGAAACCACCATTTTTTTTGTCAGATTTCAATGTTTAAAAGAAACTCAGTTATTAACATGATGAACAGAACATTAAAATATTCTTGGCAGTTCAAACATTCATACTCAGTAGCAAATGATTTGTCATATGATCAACAGTGAATCTCCTTATCCTTCATACCAATGTGTCAGTGAAGAAACACATCAAGTTATCAATAAATGTTACCAACACAGAAAATAATGCAATGTTCACATGCTAATATGAGAACTTTATGTTAGTTACTTTTGTCTTTTAGTGGACTGGTGCCTTTACACAATGCATGTTCCTATGGTCATTTTGAAGTTACAGAAATGCTGCTTAAAGTAAGTAATATTTGGGGTGTTCAAAAAGTAGAATAAAAGTCAATAGAAACATTATTTATATCGTCCTCTAATGCCAAGTTTATTGGTAATGTAATGACAGATATTTTTTGTTTGATTGCAAAAATTCAAAATATTAAAATATAAAATATAAACTGAAACAAGATGAAAATGGTATTACCATTACAGTTGTTCAGTCTGTTGTCAATAATTACACGACTAACTGTAAATGTAAATAAAAACTATTAATTACATACACCTGACTTGTGTCAAAAGAAAAAAAATATGTATTAGAGATCTGAATTGGCTTTAAATCAGCTGTAATAGATATAAGTAAAAATGTAAAACATTGCACTTCATTGAACTGAATTGCCTTAGATCATGTAGATTTCAAGATTTGGTTGATGTATTTGTATATGTCATGACTTTTACAGTCAGTTTTCATCACTAGTTATTCCATTAATATATCAACCTTTTGCTAATTTAAATGCTATCACATGTCAATGTTAAACATTAAACAGGTCAATTAATGTCATATTTCAGGCTGGTGCAAGTGTTAATGCTATGGACTTGTGGCAGTTTACACCACTACATGAAGCTGCATCTAAATCGCGTGTAGAAGTTTGTTCGTTACTGCTGGCTCATGGAGCTGATCCTACCTTAGTTAATTGTCATTCTAAAAGTGCTATAGATGTTTCTCCTACCAGAGAACTTCAAGAAAGATTACAATGTAAGTTACAGAAGTATCTGATCCTACCTTAGTTAATTGTCATTCTGAAAGTGCTATAGATGTTTCTCCTACCAGAGAACTTCAAGAAAGATTACAATGTAAGTTACAGAAGTATCTGATCCTACCTTAGTTAATTGTCATTCTAAAAGTGCTATCGATGTTTCTCCTACCAGAGAACTTCAAGAAAGATTACAATGTAAGTTACAGAAGTATCTGATCCTACCTTAGTTAATTGTCATTCTAAAAGTGCTATAGATGTTTCTCCTACAAGAGAACTTCAAGAAAGATTACAATGTAAGTTACAGAAGTATCTGATCCTACCTTAGTTAATTGTAAATCTAAAAGTGCTATAGATGTTTCTCCTACAAGAGAACTTCAAGAAAGATTAAAATGTAAGTTAAAGAAGTATTTATAATTTTTTTAGTCCACACAATTTTTACACAGAAAACAAAAGATTTAGGTTCCCGAATGAATGAGGTTTTGTATTTAGAAATATTATTGGGTTTGGAAAGGAGTAAGCACCTCCTCTAGAATTAGTTTGGAGTTATGTTTCTTTAGAAGTATAGGATATAACATTTAACATTTCAAACATGGATGGGAATTAAATATAAAAAGTTTCTACCCCCAAAATACATTTCTGGATTATCCCTGAATAAGTGCAATTCATATCCTACTCTCCTTATTCTAAGGAATTAACGATATATATTTTACATTACTATTATTAGACATTAACAATATATTTACAGATGAATTCAAAGGACATTCATTACTGGAAGGTTGTAGACAAGCTGATCTTGCTCGAGTGAAGAAATATTTAGAAGTTGTGAACTTCAAGCATCCTTATACAGGAGAAACTGCATTGGTATGTTTAGTAAAGACAGAAACATTTTTGTCGAGCCTTCGACTTTAGTCGAAAAAGCGAGACATAGCGATCCTACATTCCGTCGGCGTCGTCGGCGGCGGCGTCCACAAATATTCACTCTGTGGTTAAAGTTTTTGAAATTTTAATAACTTTCTTAAACTATCCTGGATTTCTACCAAACTTGGACAGAAGCTTGTTTATGATCATAAGATAGTATCTAGAAGGAAATTTTGTAAAAATAAAATTCCATTTTTTCCGTATTTTACTTATAAATGGACTTAGTTTTTCTGCCGGGAAATATTACATTCACTCTGTGGTTAAAGTTTTTAAAATTTTAATAACTTTCTTAAACTATCCTGGGTTTCTACCAAACTTGGACAGAAGCTTGTTTATGATCATAAGATAGTATCCATAAGTAAATTTTGTAAAAAAAAAAATCCATTTTTTCCTTATTTTACTTTTAAATGGACTTAGATTTTCTGCCAGGAAACAACACATTCACTCTGTGGTTAAAGTTTTTAAAATTTTAATAACTTTCTTATACTATTTTGGATTTGTACCAAACTTGAACAGAAGCTTGTTTATGATCAAAAGGTAGTATCTAGAAGGAAATTTTGTAAAAAAATAAATCCATTTTTTCCGTATTTTACTTTTAAATGGACTTAGATTTTCTGCCAGGAAACAACACATTCACTCTGTGGTTAAAGTTTTTAAAACTTTTAATAACTTTCTTATACTATTTTGGATTTGTACCAAACTTGGACAGAAGCTTGTTTATGATCAAATGCTAGTATCTAGAAGGAAATTTTTGTTTTCTTCCAGTTAACATTACATTCAGTCTGCAGTTAAAATTTTTAAACATTTATTAGATTCATAAGTTATCCTGGATTTTTACCAAACTTGGACAGAAGCTTCTTACAATCAAAAGATAGTATCAAGAGGAATATTTTTATTGATTTACTTCCTCATTTTTGTTGAGCCTGCGATTAACAGAAAAAGTAGGCGAGACACTGGGTTCCGCGGAACCCTTACGAATTATTTATGATTAATTTTGTTTTGTCCACTGAAGTTTTGAGGAAAATATTTCTTTATAAAAACTAAGACAGTATAATTAAATTTGGTGATAGAAGATTTAAACATGTTCTAAGGTTTAGCTCACAAAGTGTCATGCAATTTATTGATTCAAATATGAAATCATGAGAATAAGATCTTTAATCTTTAAAAAAAAAAAAACATTAAGAAAATTTACACAAATTTTGAAATAAAATGATAAATTATCCAGTTAAATCAATATTTAAAAAAAACAGAAAATTAAGATGAGACATAGGTAATACGAGTTATAAACAGAAGTTAAATGGTTTTTTGTCTCGCCTTGACGGAGTCAAAAAGCGAGACATAGGTGTGCTGTTTCCGGCGGCGGCGTCAACAATGTATTAGTTTGTGATTACGTCTAGTTCATGGTGAACCACTAGTGGTAGGTCAATGATATTTGGTATGCAGTTGTATTAGCATTGGCACATCTCATTACCATGGAGATTATTTGGCCCCGCCCCCTCAGTCAAGGTCTATTGACTTTGAAACTTTTCATAGTTTACATGTATTAGTTTGTGATTAGGTCAATTTATGGGGAACCACTAGTGGTAGGTCAATGATATTTGATATGCAGTTGTATAAGCATTGGCATATCTCATTTCCATGGAGATTATTTGGCTCTGCCCCCTTAGTCATGGTCTATAGACTTTGAAAATTTTGCTAAGTTAACATGTATTAGTTTGTGATTAGGTCAGTTCAAGGGGAACCATTAGTGGTAGGCCAATGTTAATTGGTGTTCAGTTGTATAAGCATTAGCACATCTCATTTCCATGTATAATATTTGGCCCCGCCCCCTCAGTCAGTCTATTGACTTTGAAACTTTTGCTTAGTTTACATGTATTAGTTTGTGATTAGATCAGTTTAAGATGAACCGCTAATGTTGAGTCAATGATATTTGGTATGCAAATGTATTAGCATTTGCAATTATCATTTCCATGGAGATTATATAGCCCCACCCCTGATCATGGTTCATTGACTTTGAAAATTTTACATAGTTTACAAGTTAATGTTTGTGTTTAGGTTTGTTTAAAGGGAACGACTTATAATAAGTCAGTGGTATTTGGTATGCAGTTGTATTAGCATTGGCACATCTCATTTCATGGGGATTGATAAGCCATGTACCTTCACTCATGGTTCATCGACTTTGAATATTTGCATAACTTACATGTTAAAGTATTGCTATTTTAATTTCAACATTTGCATTATCAAAATTACAAAAAGGCGAGTCATATCTCTGTGATAACAGTTTATTTATAGTTCAGGTACTTATGTAACAGCCACTATGTTCCGTCAGTTACTTTGTTCCGGCGGAACTTTTCAACTAGTTGTTTTATTCCGAGTGCAGTCGAAAAGTTCCGGAAAAAAGTAGCTAGTTGAAAAGTCCCAGAACAATGTAGCAAACGGAATAAGTTGCATTATCATGCAAATTTAGTATTCATAGTACCCTCAAGAGAGGGAAGAATACCCCCTCCTCATGTTGGTACTTTTAAAAATATCAATTTCAGATTAATGTATAACAATAAATTAGAACTTAATCCGTTATGAAGGTAACATTCTGACTGAATTAAGTACCATAATAATGAAGTGGGGGAAGAATGAGGATCAGTATATAAGACACTTTTGTTCCCCTTTGAAAAGGTTCAAAGATAATATGTTGCGCTTTTACTTTGCATCAATTCTCCAAATGGAACTTTGTGACTGGTTGATAAGTTCCGTTGGAACTTTTGGGCTAGTTTGTTAGTTCCGGTTTTGACTTATTTGTCAAAGAGGGACTTTGTGGCTAGTTGATAAGTTCCTTTTTGACTTTTGTAATCAGTATATTGGTTTCCCTTTGAAATGTTCAAATATAATATGTTGCGCTTTTACTTTGCATCACTTCTCCAAATGGAACTTTGTGACTGGTTGATAAGTTCCCTTGGAACTTTTGGGCTAGTTTGTTAGTTCCGGTTTTGACTAATTTGGCAAAAAGGAACTTTATAACTAGTTGATATGTTCTGTTGGAACTTTTCAACTAGTCACTTTGTTCCGGTGGAACTTTTAAACCAGAGGAAGAACAAAGTAACTAGTTAATAAGTTCCTCCGGAACTTTTCGGCTAGTTAGTTCTTTCCGCCTGGAACTTTCCAACGTCGGAACAAAAGAGCATTTACACTTACTAGTACATTCAAAACTGGATGTTAAGCAAGCAAAAACAAATCAATCAAAACCTGCCTAACATTTCCTTTTATTATAAAAGAAAAACATTCATGTAGAAAATTAGGTTTGTTGGTTCCAGTTCAGAAAAAAAAAATCCTACATGTATCATTTAATATTTAAATGTTTGCAAAGAACATAAGATTTAATTCATATGGCCTTACAAGTTTTATTTATTCCACAGCATTGTACTGCAGCTTCACCTTTTCCTAAGAGGAAACAAGTTATGGAGGCATTGATAAGGAAAGGTGCCAACTTAAACGATAAAAACAAAGAGTAAGTTTTATTTATAACTTGAGAGATTATGACTCATTTAAAAAATCATTTCTTGTAGTTGTCTTTCTGAAAATGAAGTAACAGCATCTTTAAAAAAATACTTTGTCTTGTTGTTTTAGATCATGTTTTTCTTAAATATTTAAGAACAATCCAAAACATTTAAAATGAGAAGGTGTTGAAAGATTTTTATTTATCCACCAAACTGTACAAAGTTATGTTGATAAAGTAAGAAACACACAACAGATTGTTTTATTGTCTTGCCTAAAACAAAATTCAGGTGGAAAAGAAGACATAGCAATCCTTTATTTCATATTCAGGATCATCAGCATTTAGATACAGTCTAATGAAAGTGTTTTAAGACATCTATAACTTTGTCATGTTATGAAACTTAGAATGAAGCTTCTTCATAATCAAGAAATAGTATCTAAAAATTTTTATTTATTTTTTGGATTCTGTGTTTTACTGGTAAATGTACTTATTATACCCCACGCAACGAGTTGCGGAGGGTATAATGTTTTTGACCCGTCTGTCCGTCCGTCCGTCCGTCAGTCCATCAGTCCTATTTCTTGTCATCGCAACTCCTCTCAAACCACACAACAGAATTTCACGAAAACCTTTTTAGATAATGACATACTATGTAGTTGTGCATATCGACAGGAAATTACCATTCAATTTTTTTTCTAGGAGTTACGCCCCTTTAAACTTATTTACTTTAATGTACTACTGCAACAGTTTGTCATCGCAACTCCTCTCAAACCACACAACAGAATTTCATGAAACCTTTTCAGATAATAAGGACATACAACGTAGATGTGCATATCGACAGGAAATTACGATTCAAATTTTTTTCCAGGAGTTACGCCCCTTTGAACTTATTTGCCAAATATACTACTGCAACCTTTTGTCATCGCAACTCCTCTCAAACCACACAACAGAATTTCATGAAACCTTTTCAGATAATAAGGACATACTACGTAGATGTGCATATCGACAGGAAATTACGATTCATTTTTTTCCCAGGAGTTGCGCCCCTTTGAACTTATTTGCCCAATATACTACTGCAACCTTTTGTCATCGCAACTCCTCTCAAACCACACAACAGAATTTCATGAAACCTTTTCAAATAATAAGGACATTCTACGTAGATGTGCATATCGACAGGAAATTAAGATTCAATTTTTTTTCCAGGAGTTACGCCCCTTTGAACTTATTTGCTTTAATGTACTACTGCAACAGTTTGTCATTGCGACTCCTCTGAAACCACACAACAGAATTTCATGAAACCTTTTTAGATAATAAGGACATACTATGTAGTTGTGCATATCGACAGGAAATTACGATTCATTTTTTTTTCTTAGTGTTACGCCCCTTTGAACTTATTTGCTTCAATGTACTACTGCAACAGTTTGTCATTGCAACTCTTCTGAAACCACACAACAGAATTTCATGATACTTTGTAGATAATAAGGACATACTACGTAGATGTGCATATCGACAGGAAATTATGATTCAATTTTTTTTCTAGGAGTTACGCCCCTTTGAACTTATTTGCTTCAATGTACTTTTGCAACAATTTGTCATCGCAACTCCTCTGAAACCACACAACAGAATTTCATGAAACTTTGTAGATAATAAGGACATACTATGTAGATTTGCATATTGACAGGAAATTATGATTCAATTTATTTTTCTTATACAATTTTTTTTTCTTACACTTATTTTATTTCTCCAATGACAATGTGGGGACGTGGGGTATGTGAGCGCGCTCACTAAGGTTCTTTAATTTTTGTCAACATTACACTTTTACACTGACAGAAGCAATCCAAGGCAAGACACATGGTTCCTATGGTCATTTTACAATTCTTTTATTGTTATGATTGCTTGAAAATTAGCTTAAGATATACCATGCAAGTTTATTAATTTGAATTTGAAATTTTCAGGTTATTATCTCCCCTGCACGTAGCGGCAGATAAAGCTCATTACGATGTGATGGATGTATTACTAAAACATGGTGCTAAAGTAAGTTTTATTATAAAATGGCATATGAATGTAGGATTTCATTGATACAGAATGTTGTAGAATGATATATATTTGAATGGCAAGCTCTGAAAAAAATATTAAAATTGCATTTCCAGATTGCCATCTATCAGGTCACTTACAAGATATCTAATTATTATGTTAGATAGATGTTGAAGCAGTTATAATTTTTTGTGCTGTCTTGAATTCAGTTTTACAGAATTAAATTTAATACACACACACACAAACACACTCATATGGAAAAGGCAACAACAGCTGTTTTTTAACCCAATGAATTAAGTCATTGGGACTAACAAAAAAAATGTTGTTACAACTCAGTCTATTACTGTTTTCTTAAAACCCAGTGTTAGTGAGAGTGACTTTAATGTCCAATCAGACACAAGCAGGCAGTCAGCATAACACTGGTGAGATGTTTATCACCAGTCTGATTTAAGTAGGCAATCAATATATTTTTTCTTGTAAAAAAACTGCTGCCCTTTCACTTTAAAAAGTGTCTTCAAATATGATTTTATTACTTCTGAAATATCCCAATATTGTACACAATACAGTATATTAGTTAATATTGAATAGGTATAACAAATTGTATTGTACAGGAGACATAAATGGCTTATGTTGTTTTTTTTTTGGTTGGGGAATATTGTAAGTGATTGTGTTAAATGAAAAAATTCAAATGTAAGAGTGATGTGTTAAAGCATGTACTGTTCATATGATTACCTTGTATCTTACAAGTGGTAAATTGTAATGTAATTTTGTGGTGGTCTATAGATACAAAAAAATGTCAGGTGATGAAACAAAAGTTTCTAGGATTGAACTTTTTTATTTATGAGTTAAGGTTATATATAAGTAAAGGTCACCTAAATCAAACTGTTTTACTGTAGCAATATTGATTTCAATACCTAACCAATGGATAAAATTTGAATTTTATGAAAAATTAGGTAATTACAGGTAATGTTGCAATAAAAAAAAGGTTTTCTATCACATTCATTATCAGAAGCTGAATTTTCATATTTGTTTCTGCTTTCAGGTAAATGCAATAGATGGACTTGGTCAGACAGCATTGCATCGTGTAGCTCAGCAGGGTAACATGCAAGCATGTCGACTCCTGATGTCGTACGGTGTTGATGCTTCCATTGTCTCTTTACATGGTTACACTGCTGCACAATTAGCTACAGAAAACATACAGAAAATGTTGAAAGGTTTGTTTCAAAAGTTTAAGAATTTGATAGCTTCTGACAACTGAATGAATAGTTTTTCTCCTACTATCAAAATACATTCAGTCAAACTGTTATATAAAGGTCACCCATGGGGACATGATCGTACAAGAGACTTGACCTTTGAGTTGAGGTTCAAAATGAATAGGTATTACTTCAGTGTGGAAAAGAAGGTAAACTGCCAAGGCAGGTTTTTATACGACCGCAAAAAAATTTTGTGGTCGTATATTGGTATGACGTTGGCGTCGTTGTTGTCCGGCGTCGTCGTCGTCCGAATACATATTGGTTTTCGCACTCTAACTTTAGTTTAAGTTAATGGATCTTTTTGAAATTTGACCATAAGGTTAAATACCACAAAAGGAAGGTTGGGATTGATTTTGGGGGTTATGGTACCAACAGTTAAGGAATTAGGGGCCAAAAATGAGCATTTTCTAGTTTCCAGACAATAACTGTGGAACGGTGTATGGATCTCTCTGAAATTATACTACAAGTTTCCAAACCACAAAGGGATGGTTAGGATTTGCTTTGGGGGTTTATGGCTCAAACCGTTTAGGAATTAGGGGCAAAAAAGGGGGAAAAACAAGGTTGTCCTGGTTAATGGACAAATACTTTAGTACAAAACATAATTTAAAGCAGTGTAAGGGAGATAAATCAAATACATCATTGAAATTATCTCCCTTACACTGCTTTTAAATTATGTATAAAGTAATGGTTAATGAACAATAAAGATAATCTAAAACAGTGTAAGGGAGGTAATCCAAATACAACGTTTTGGTTACTTCCCTTACACTGCTTTTAAATTATGTTTAAAGAAATGTATATTTATAAAGGAAGACCAGTAAAAATATCTGCAAATGTTTTCATCTTTTTTTTTTACAAAAAAATCCATATGAAAGATTTGACACTATATTTTTATTAATTCTATTATAAAATAGATTAAGTTAGCACTATGGTAAATTTAAATGGGTAATTATGGTTGCCAACTCCATTGGAAATTTGAATTGAGATTATGACCATATCTTGAGGGAAAGAATTTTTTGGGGGGAAAAAGGGGGGGGGGGGGGGATAAAAAGAAATTGTGGGGGGCCAATTTTTTCTCATTTCAGATTTCAGAAATTAAAAAGAATTATTCTTCAAATATTATTTTTTTTTTTCAAATTTCAAATATTGAAAAATTTCAAGAAGTAATCTTTAATTGCACAGTATGGCGCATTAGATTTGTAAAATCTTTGATCACATTTATTTATTTGTTATGCCGAATCTAACAGTGTATTTAGATTTTTAATTTTGGGTCCAGTTTTCAAATTGGTCTACATTAATGTCCAAAGGGTCCAAAATTAAACTTTGTTTGATTTTAGCAAAAATTGAATATATGAGGTTCTTTGATATGCTGAATCTAAACATGTATTTAGATTTTTGATTTTTGGCCCAGTTTTCAAGTTGGTTCAAATTGGGGTCCAAAATTAAACTTTGTTTGATTTCAACAAAAATTGAATATATGGGGTTCTTTGATATGCTGAATCTAACCATGTATTTAGATTTTTTATTTGTGGACCCCGTTATCTAATTGGTTCATATTGAGGTCAAAAGGGTCCAAAATTAAACTTTGTTTGATTTCATCTAAAATTGAATTATTGGGGTTCTTTGATATTCCAAATCTAACCGTGTATTTAGGTTTTTAATTTTGGGTCCTGTTTTTTAAATTGGTCTACATTGAGGTCCAAAGGGTCCAAATTAAACTTAGTTTGATTTTAACAAAAATTGAATTCTTGGGGTTCTTTGATTTGCTGAATCTAAACATGTGTTTAGATTTTTATACGACCGCAAAAATTAAAAATTTTTTGGTCGTATATTGGTATGACGTTGGCGTCGTCGTCGTCGTCGTCGTCGGCGTCGTCCGGCGTCGTCCGAAGACACATTGGTTTTCGCACTCTAACTTTAGTTTAAGTGAATGGATCTCCATGAAATTTCACCATAAGGTTCAATACCACAAAAGGAAGGTTGGGATTGATTTTGGGGGTTATGGTACCAACAGTTAAGGAATTAGGGGCCAAAAATAAGCATTTTTGTAACTTTCAGACAATAATTTGTGTGTAAGTGTATGGATCTCTCTGACATTGTACCACAAGGTTCCATATCACAAAGGGAAGGCTGTAATTGATTTTGGGGGTAATTGCCTCAAAATTTTCGGAATTAGGGGCCAAAAAAGGGGCAAAAAACAAGCATTTTTCTAGTTTCATGACAATAACTTGTGTGTAAGTGTTTGGATATTTCTGAAATTGTACTACAAGGTTTCATATCACAAAGGGAAAGCTGGAATTGAGTTTGGGGGTAATTGCCCGAAACGTTTAGGAATTGGGGGCCAAAAAGGGGCCAAAAATAAGCATTTTTCTAGTTTCCAGACAATAACTTGTGTTCAAGTGTATGGATCTCTCTGAAATTGTACTGCAAGGTACCATACCACAAAGGGAAGGCTGGGATTGAGTTTGGGGGTGATGAATCATAAGGGGGTTCAAAAAATTTGGGGGGGGATTTTTTTTTTTTTTTTTTTTCTTTTTTTCCTTTTTTTTTTCTTTTAAAATTTTCCATTTTAAGTTGGTTATTTCTGATTTATATTTAAAAGCAAATAATAATGATATGGTAGGAGATACACACCAAACAGGATGTGTAAATTATTATATAATAAGTATTGTGCAATAGCAAGAAATTTTCAATTGCACAGTATTGCACAATAGCAAGAAATCTTCAATTGCACAGTATTGCGCAATAGCAAGAAATCTTCAATTGCACAGTATTGCGCAATAGCAAGAAATATCCAATAGCACAATATTGCGCAATAGCAAGAAATTGTCAATTGTACAGTATTGCGCAATAGCAAGAAATATTCTATTGCACAGTATTGTGCAAAAGAAGATACTTCGTATAAATTGCTTATTTCTTGATCAATTTCAATGGGGTTTTATTCTTGAATTCTTGGGGTTCTTTAATATGCTGAATCTAACCGTGTATTAAGTTTTTGGATTTTGGGCCCCGTTTTTAAATTGATCCACATTGAGGTCCAAAAGATCCAAAATTTAACTTTGTTTGATTTCATCAAAAATTGAATTATTGGGGTTCTTTGATATGCCGAATCTAACCGTGTATTTAGATTTTTAATTTTGGGTCCCGTTTTTTAAATTGGTCTACATTAAGGTCCAAAGGGTCCAAAATTAAACTTAGTTTGATTTTAACAAAAATTGAATTCTTGGGGTTCTTTGATATGCTGAATCTAAACATGTGTTTAGATTTTTGATTATGGGACCAGTTTTCAAGTTGGTCCAAGTTGGGGTCCAAAATTAAACTTTGTTTGATTTCAACAAAAATTGAATATATGGGGTTCTTTGATATGCTGAATCTAACCATGTATTTAGATTTTAGATTTTTGGCCCAGTTTTCAAGTTGGTCCAAATTGGGGTCCAAAATTAAACTTTGTTTGATTTCAACAAAAATTGAATATATGGGGTTCTTTGATATGCTGAATCTTACCATGTATTTAGATTTTTTATTTGTGGGCCCGCTATCAAATTGGTTCATATTGAGGTCAAAAGGGTCCAAATTTAAACTTTGTTTGATTTCATCAAAAATTTAATTATTGGGGTTCTTTGATATGCCAAATCTAACCGTGTTTTTAGATTTTTAATTTTGGGTCCCGTTTTTTAAATTTGTCTACATTAAGGTCCAAAGGGTCCAAAATTAAACTTAGTTTGATTTTAACAAAAATTGAATTCTTCGGGTACTTTGATATGCTGAATCTAAACATGTGTTTAGATTTTTGATTATGGGACCAGTTTTCAAGTTGGTCCAAGTTGGGGTCCAAAATTAAACTTTGTTTGATTTCAACAAAAATTGAATATATGGGGTTCTTTGATATGCTGAATCTAACCATGTATTTTGATTTTGGACATTGGACCATAATAGGTAAATTAAAAAAATTGAAGTTCTTAGACCACATTCTTTCTGTGTCAGAAACCTATGCTGTGTCAAATATTTAATCACAATCCAAATTCAGAGCTGTATCAAGCTTGAATGTTGTGTCCATACTTGCCCCAACTGTTCAGGGTTCGACCTCTGCGGTCGTATCAAGCTGCGCCCAGCGAAGCATTTTATTGATTATGGGCCCAGTTTTCAAGTTGGTCCAAGATAGGGTCCAGTATTTAAACTTTGTTTGATTTCAACAAAAATTGAATATATGGGGTTCTTTGATATGCTGAATCTAAACATGTATTTAGATTTTTGATTATGGGCCCAGTTTTCAAGTTGGTCCAAATTGGGGTCCAAAATTAAACTTTGTTTGATTTCAACAAAAATTGAAAATATGAGGTTCTTTGATATGCTGAATCTAACCATGTATTTAGATTTTTTATTTGTAGGCCCCGCTATCAAATTGGTTCATATTGAGGTCAAAAGGGTCCAAAATTAAACTTTGTTTGATTTCATCGAAAATTGAATTATTGGGGTTCTTTGATATGCCAAATCTAACCGTGTTTTTAGATTTTTAATTTGGGTCCCGTTTTTTAAATTGGTCTTCATTGAGGTCCAAAGGGTCCAAAATTAAACTTAGTTTGATTTTAACAAAAATTGAATTCTTGGGGTTCTTTGATATGCTGAATCTAAACATGTGTTTAGATTTTTGATTATGGGCCCAGTTTTCAAGTTGGTCCAAGTTGGGGTCCAAAATTATACTTTTTTTGATTTCAACAAAAATTGAATATATGGGGTTCTTTGTTATGCTGAATCTAACCATGAATTTAGATTTTTTATTTGTGGGCCCCGCTATCAAATTGGTTCATATTGAGGTCAAAAGGGTCCAAAATTAAACTTTGTTTGATTTCATCAAAAATTGAATTATTGGGGTTCTTTGATATTCCAAATCTAACCGTATATTTAGATTTTTAATTTTATGTCCCGTTTTTTAAATTGGTCTACATTAAGGTCCAAAGGGTCCAAAATTAAACTTAGTTTGATTTTAGCAAAAATTGAATTCTTGGGGTTCTTTGATATGCTGAATCTAAACATGTGTTTAGATTTTTGATTATGGGCCCAGTTTTCAGGTTTGTCCAAGTTGGGTTCCAAAATTAAACTTTGTTTGATTTTAACAAAAATTGAATATATGGGGTTCTTTGATATGCTGAATCTAACCATGTATTTTGATTTTGGACATTGGACCATAATAGGTAAATTAAAAAAATTCAAGTTCTTAGACCATATTCTTTCTGTGTCAGAAACCTATGCTGTGTCAAATATTTAATAACAATCCAAATTCTGAGCTGTATCAAGCTTGAATGTTGTGTCCATACTTGCCCCAACTGTTCAGGGTTCGACCTCTGCGGTCGTATCAAGCTGCGCCCCAGCGAAGCATTTTATTATTAGCTAAATGTAGATGTGACCTTTTTATTTATCAGGTTTGACTGTATGTTCAATTCACAACAAAAACACATTTGTTCAATTCACAACAAAACACTTTTGTTCAATTTACAACAAAACACATATGTTCAATTCACAGCAAAACACACATGTTCCATTTACAACAAGACGTGTGTTCAAATCACAACACATCAAATTCACTTCATAACAAAGCACATATGTTTTATTTACAACCATAGCAGCAATATAAATGAACCTCCGATGTTATGATGGCATTTTTTTTTTTTCATTGACTTTAAATAGAAGACATCAAATTAGAAAGTGTACTCCATTCAAGCATGTAAATGTTTTGAAGGCAAATTTTTTTTGCTTTTTCATAAAGTTTACCACAAATCATCATTAATTATATTTTTCGTTTATTACAGAAGACCCCCCTGTAGGAGGTACAGATGTAGATATACAGTTACTGGAAGCAGCAAAGGCTGGGGATATGGAGGTAGTTAAAGTAGGTTTACTCAACATATGTTGACATGAAAAGGAATAAGTAAAACAATGTCATCAAATAAAGGTTTAGGTTTATTTACAATGAAGTTATTTTATGTCTTTTGGGGGGAATTATTGTCACAAAAACCTGTTTTTATTGGGTTATTTGATAGTTTGGAAAATTTTCATGATTTTGAAATATTTCTTATTAGTAATGATTTGGTTCTTTGGATCCTGGGTAATGCTTTAAATGCTATTGATTGTTAATAACCTGTTTATAGCTTGTTTTGTTCACAGTTTTAAAAAATCCATAGATCACTCAGTGTCTTTTTAAAAATTATTTATTTCTTTAGAAGAATAATGAACTCCTTTGCAAAGATAGTCAGTATTTAAGTATTAGACGTTACTTCACACACAACATACATTTTCAGAAATTAATATCAGCTAACCCACACTCTGTGAACTGTCGCGACCTGGATGGAAGACATTCAACACCTTTACATTTTGCTGCTGGATATAACAGAGTTACTGTCGTTGAATATTTACTACAGCATGGTGCAGATGTGCATGCTAAAGATAAAGGGTAATTATATTTACACCAATATAGAGAGTATTGCTGTGCAACAGAAAGTTAAGTATGCTATCATGAAGTCATTGTCAAAAGGACCTGACATACATTAGACTGAATGATGGTTTGAGTTTCTATAGAAAATTTGTAATTTGTTGAACTCCAAAATTAGTTGTTAACCTAATTGAACATTCACGAAAATAAGTACAAACTGAATAATTATAAACTCTTTAAGTACTTGCTTTCTACAATATTTTAAAGTATAATTGAACTTATTTTTTATCTTTCAGAGGACTGGTTCCTTTACACAATGCGTGTAGTTATGGACATTATGAAGTTACAGAACTATTGATAAAGGTAAGTTTTAGATATTTTAATCAATTGTTTGATGCATTGGGAGACCTACTTCAGGAAATTTAGTTGGAGAAGAAAAGTGATGTGGTGATGTACATGAGACATAAAGCTTATGAAATACTAGAAAGTTACCAAGATAAGAAATAATGTTAGTGTACATAAGATATATATAACTACAGGTATAGCATAGTGCATTAAGGATTTGACACTTTATTTAATGTTTAATGTGGTAAAAGCCAAACACATGTGTGATGCATTGTAGTAGCTGGCCACTTTATCTCTTGTCAGTTTATATTGATACATTAAACATTCTGTTTGTGCCATCATTACATTTAACACTTGCCTTGACATTTTATCATGAATCACCACTATGACAAATTTTTGTAAAGGATTATACTGCCGTGATATAATAGTGGAAATTCCTAAATCCATCATGTTATTAAGTACTCTAACCTTGGTAGAATTTTTTTTTGAATAAAAGCTCTAATTTTTGTGGGATTTAGCAAACTTAAGAAATTTCTTGATGAAATATTATATGAATGGGACATTAGGACGGGTAAAGTTATATGTTTGTATTAAAGCCTCTCTTATGACTGTTCCAGAATTATAATTGTGTAGGTACACTTCAATTAAAATTTAGTGGGTGATTGTTATTTTGTAAAGATAGCCTGAACAATTGAAGGAAATAATCAATTAAAATGGTATACATTGCAAAGTAATGTAAAATTTGACTCTCATCCCCCCATACATTTATTTCTAAACAGCCTTTAATATATTAGTATGTTAACCGAGTAATTTTAACTCAAAACTGATAGTTAAAGCTTAAGTTTTTTGGAAAGATTTAAGCTTTTATTTTCATGCACTGATATTGCCCTTAAATGATTGCATTGATTCTTTGTATTTTCAGCATGGAGCATGTGTTAATGTGGCAGATCTATGGAAGTTTACTCCTTTACATGAAGCTGCTGCAAAAGGAAAATTTGAAATATGTAAATTATTGCTGAAGGTATGATTCACATTCAATACAGCAAGGGTCAAAATGTCATATGTACCGGTAATTGTTTTTCATACATTTGCGTAGAAGGCAAATTCGAATTTTAATCTGCTGAATGTTTAGAGGAAAAAGTATTGGTGCAATTGTTGAGTATATAACAGCTTAGACTTCAAATCCTCAAAATTTCTTTTTGGGTAATCAGACTTTTAATATTTAACCCTCTTGGGACTAAGTTGTTCATAGAATAACACATTCTGACAAGAGAGAGCATGGTTTGAATGGAATGGCTAGTAATAAGAATACCATTATTTCAAACATTTATTTGGAGAAAGTAAAATGATTTAATATTATTTATCGGGTATCAATTTTATGGATTTAGTCGGTAATTGTTATAAACCACAAATTAAAATGTACAATGAAATAAAATAAATCTTTAGTGTTGTATGGAAAATTTGTTTCAAGTTCAAGGAAAATACAAGTTTTCTTAATACACAAAAATAAATGAATCCACAGTAGACCTTTAGTTTCATGTTTTATTTATTGCTTTCAGCATGGTGCAGATGCAACCAAAAAGAATAGGGATGGAAACACACCATTAGACCTTGTCAAAGAAGGTGATCATGATGTTGCTGATTTACTTAGAGGTGATGCTGCATTGCTGGAAGCTGCCAAAAAAGGAAACTTGTCTCGAGTACAGAAATTGTCAACACAAGAAAATATCAATTGTAGAGATAACCAAGGAAGAAATTCTACTCCACTGCATTTAGCAGGTAAATTACTGGAAAATGCACCATAAAAAAATCTATATATTTGAATCTTTGGTAAATAGAGTAAACTAAAAAGATTTTTTACAGGCCAGAAATATAAAAAGTTGCTTCTTCTTTATTCAGATTAAAAAATGCTTTAAAAAATACTGTAAATTCAGAACTAATGTAAACAAAATTATGCAATAAAAAATGTAGATAGCAATAACCAAAAGTTGTATATTATATTTTGTTAGTAATATTCTACTGCGACAAGTACATGAATCACAGTAATTATCCTCTTATCATAATGTGTGTTGTTGAAGATTTGCAATAGTAAATGGAATCAGCAAATACAGTAAACAATGTGTTGATTAACCTTGATTAACCTTCTTTTTCTCATTTCAGCTGGATATAACAATGTTGAAGTAGCAGAATTTTTATTAGAGAACGGAGCAGATGTAAATGCACAAGACAAAGGAGGATTAATACCACTACACAATGCTTCATCATATGGGGTATGTATCAATGTCTAGTGCTCTTCAAACTTATATACCGCCTCGGTGGTTTCGTGGTATAGTGTTCTCCTTGAGTGCGGAGGAGGTTATGGGTTCGAACCCCAGCCGGGTCAAACCAAAGACTTAAAAATTGATATTTGCTGCATCTGTGCTAAGCATGCATTATTTAGGAGTGAGAGCAAAGACTGGTAGGCTCAAAATTCAGAATAATGTGTCCGGTTAAGGTGACATGTCTTCCTGCGGACTGTTACCTTGTGAACTAGCATGTTGAAAATCCGACTTAGCGTGTCGGTCTAGTACAAAGCAGGGTTAATATTCATATTACATTAAATTTTTCTCGTCCTGAATATGCATATTAATTTGCCGCTGGACATTAAGCAGCCATTCATCATCATCATCAAACTTATATTCTTCCATTGTTCAGGCCAATCTTCCTTTGAGTAATAACATACACAGAACAACACTTTGGTTGATGGATATACTAAAAATAATATTGTATGTATGTTTGACTGCAGAATTCAAATTGTCAGGCTGCATCTTTTCGTTAAGCTTAAAATATTCCAGATTTTAAAATCGTAAATAAAGTGATATTTTCAATAAATACCTCTGACATTCATTTACTTTAAAAATGTTATGTAATTAAGCCAAGCACCAAAGTTTTTTCCGTTGAAGATCTACATTTTCATCTTTGTGTCTATTTAAACTTCATTTTAGCAACTGATTCAAGAAGATTTATGGCTATTTTAGCATTCTAGAATATTTCATTTTAGCATTTTTAACATTTTTATACCCCCGCTTTAAAAAAGGTGGGGTATACTGTTTTACCTCTTTCTGTCTGTCCGTCCCTCCATCCATCCATCAGTCCGTCTGTCCGTCCCATGAATATTTTTCATCGCATCTTTCTCAGGAACTACATTACAAGGATTTCTGAAATTTGGTTTCAGGGGTTATATGAGTCAGCTATACCATGTGATGCGTTTTCAGATTCACCACTTAACAACTTCCTGTTTACCGAACACTTATATCATTTTACACATGACATCCAAGTTGAAAATTTTCGTCACATTTTTCACAGGAACTACATTTGATACAAGGATTTCTGAAATTTGGTTTCAGTGTTTATATAAGTCAGCTATACCATGTGATGCGTTTTCAGATTCATCACTCAGCAACTTCCTGTTTACTGTCAAGTATTTGGGCTGGTGGTATCATCAGTGAGCAGTAGCTCGCAGTTTCACTTGTTCAACCTCTTGTGGCACAGAAAAGTTTGATTTTTTTCTTTAAAAAGATACTTTAGAAAACATCAAAGTTTTAATAAATGGTGGATTTTCATGGCCTAAGAAGTGATGCAAACAAAACTTTAATTTTGCATTTGTGATCTTTATTTTTTGATATTTGTGAGAAATGGTACAATCCTTACACATTCCATCTTAAATGTATGTCATATTTTAGGTCAGTTAAGATTATTTGTTAATTTCAATCTTGTTAATAATGATATTCTAGTCAATGTTTTACATCATGAATTTCATTAAGTTGAATGTATACTGCACATTTATAATTCCTATTGAATTATGATTTTATTCTGGTTCATCTATTTATAGCATGTAGATATAGCAGCCCTATTGATCAAGTTTAATACCTGTGTGAATGCTGTAGATAGATGGGGATTTACACCTCTCCACGAGGCAGCACAAAAAGGAAGAACTCAGCTCTGTGCTTTATTGGTATGTATCGTTAACCTGTCTCAACGACGAAACCCTTGGGGACTCTTGAATTTGTTCTCTTTAGACAGGTGTTTTGATTCATACAAGTTAAAAAGCATTGAAGTTGGTGTAAAGAGACATTGGAGCATGTTTGGTTCAGACAAGTTTCCTGTCAGGGTTGACAAGTTTTAATGTATATATTAAGTTCAGAACATAAATATATAGATTCTTACACTGCATTGGGTTTGATACAATATTTCTCTCTCCTTAAGACAGTTCAATTTTTTAATTAAAATAGGTTTGAAGAGTGCTTAAAGTTGTAACTCTCAAGTGTGGAAAAATATCACATCACAGAAGATAAGTTACTTTTGATATGAACAGAGTGACTTAATTGTGTGATTAAGGTTTTTGCATTTGATCCACTTGGTCAATTTTATAAATCAGAATTTATTACTCTTAACTTTAATATACATTTGTTATCTTTGAATTAACATCTAAAATAAATATTCAACTTTAACTTTTTTTTAGCTGGCTCATGGTGCAGATTCATCCATGAAGAACCAGGAAGGTCAGACACCACTTGACTTAGCAACAGTAAGTTTTATGTTTTATTATACCCCAGTCTCATTAAGGCTATTTAAAAAGTGAGGTATGTATTGCGCCTTAGTTTTCTTTACAAACAATGTTGGTTTTTATTCTGAAATATAGCAACAGTTCCACTTGACAGAAATTTTTTGAATTAAAAACACAATATTGTGGTCTGTACTAGACAGGTCATGTTCAATATTGACAATGAACATTTACTGTTCAAGAGTTTTGATGTGTGAATTAAAAGAGATGTCTGGTATATGTAAATAAGACCCTGAACAATCCAGACATTTTGTGAACAACAAATATTTTGAAGTTATTTCATTACATCTGTGAATCTAAATGTCATTATTTATTATTATACTTCATGTCAAAATGCCAGATTTTGATTGGTTAATACGAGGGAGACAATTTACTCTATTCTATGGTAAATACTCTTATTACCCTTCACGGAGACGCTTGATCAAGTGTGCGCTTTATTAAATACTGATGGTTGTTATGTACAAGACGTCATAGTTTATTACTTTGAATTTGAAATTTAATCGACAGTAATAACAGATCATTCAGTATAATAAATTAAATAACACATATCTGAGAGAGTGATAGCGCAGATTTTTACCCCTCAAAAAGACATTGTCAACCTTGACTTCGCCTCAGTTGACAATGTTTTCTCGGGGTAGCAATCTGCTCTATCACCCTCTCAGCTATGTGTTATTTATATAATGTTATTTTATTGTATTGCAGTATATACTATTATTTGAAGTCTATAACCTGTAAAAAGGATTGTTTTGAAAGTGTAGAAATTTAGAAATATATTTGATTTACTTTTCTTCACTGTTGAATAGAAAGTTTCTAAATTCATAAATATTTGTTGAAGATACAAATTTAATATCAAGAGATATTAATTAAATATATTCAATAATGTTTAGAAAATAAATTGTGAATACAAACCAAAAATTTTGAGATAAACACTGACTGTTTTCATTTCAGGCTGATGATGTCAGAGCTTTAATACAAGATGCCATGCCACCTGTCTCCCAACCACCAACATTACAAAAATCCCAGTTAATGACATCAGTTGCTGATAATACCAGTTCATCGTCTGGTAACAGGTAAGTCTTAACTCTGTTCTATCACAACCCACTGTTCAAACTCACAACATGTTACATTACAGAAACTTTAACTAATGATATCATTTAGTAATAATAAATGTCTGATACCCTTTTTCTCACAATTTTAAACAACATAGAAATTTCAGCTCATCACCTTGTAAAATGACAGTATTTTACTTTTAAATAAACATTAGCAACTCTGAATATCTGTCAAAAAAGGTGCATTTAAAAGTCATAAGTGGAGAAGGATCAGACAAAGCTATTGTCAGAAGAAAAAGAATAGAAATCACGATACAGTACAAATACCATTAACAACAAGATTGATCAACATCAATCCTTCATTGGGATCTAGTACAAAGCAGCATTGATGATCATATCACATTAAAATGTTATTGTCCTAAATATGCATGTAATATTGGCCTAACGATGGTAGACCTCTATCAATTAATCACTCAAAACAACCAACATTACAAGAAACTTGACTGAGGACAACAATGATTGATAAAAGTAGTTCTACCCAAGATGTTCGTCAGTAGTACACCAAGGTAATTTACTTAATAAAAAGGTGTGAAATCAAACAAACATACTTTTATCTTTTTCACTAAGTGTATGCTTATATTCAATAATGTAGCATATTTTTTCAACAAAAAAATTCTTGTTGGTATAAAAGTGGGCTGAAAAAATTTGATTTTCTGTTAATTTCAGTACAATGTTTACCAGTACAGATTTAGGAGCTGCTGCAGGGGCATCTGTAGCCTCTGGTGGTATGCCATCTAGTCCTCAAGGAGGGGATGGGGCCCAAATGGAACGCACAATGGCTGAAGGAGAAAGAACTGTGGACAATATTAGTGTTTCGTCATTCTTAACTAGTATTGGACTGGAACAGTTAAGAGATATTTTTGAAAAAGAACAAATTACTATGGATATTTTAGTTGAAATGGGACATGATGAATTAAAAGACATTGGTATAAATGCTTATGGACATCGACATAAGATTCTAAAAGGATTAGAAAAAATGGTGTCAGGAAAAGGTGGGTATCCTATCAATTGTATACAGCATGTCGAACACTTTTTAAAAAATAGTGCAGTGCAAATTACTGAATTTAAATGATTTTTTAATTGCAGTGAAATTTTATGCTTAAAACTATACATGATGTATTAAAGAAAATTGAAGTTTTTGAGATTTTGTTGATATTTAGTTACAGATGTTAGCATGGTTAGGCTCATGTAAACATTTTCATTTCCAAGGCACATGCTTTGAATGCAAACATTGTCTGCTGCAGGTCGTGGAACCAGGAAGTAAATTTAAAATCTGTACAAACAGTTGTATTATATATTTAAATACCTTCTAAAAACATAAAACAGTTGGTTATACTATTTGTGTATTTTTCATAGTTTTAAAAGATATATTGTTTTTTAAAAAAGTTCTAAATAGCATTTTGATTATGAATCCATAAAGACAAGCAAAACTTCTTTTGTGTTTCTAAAAAAGTTTGATGTATAAACCATCACTAAGGATTTTGTCCTTTTAATTCAGGAAGTTCCATTCTAACACCAGTACCACACCAAGGTACAGTTCTTGTAGATCTGACTACAGATGATCCTGAATATATTTCTGTTGATGAACAGGTAAGGATTTTGAATATCTAATTGCTAAGCTTTATAATGCGTTCCTGTTATTTATTAATTACATTATTGTCATTTTTAACTCAGAATATCAAGTTCACCAAAAAATTGATAGGGCTATTCCAGAAATAAATGTAAAAGGGGGGGGGGGGGGGGGTCAGATGGCACTTTTATTTAACCCGCCATTTATATTCATTGATTATTTCATATAATTGTTAAGGCTATCTGTCTTAAATAACCACCACCCATCAGATTTTAATAAAAGTGCCTCCAGACCCACCCATACAATTAATTCTGGAAAAGCCCTTGGAGAAAAGTCATATTTTTGTGCCTTGAAAGGAACAAGCACTTAGTTTCACATCTATTAATATCCCCTGCTATCTGCTTTTCAGAATTCAAAAAGAGTAAATTTTTTAATTGAAAGAAAATTTGAGCTTTGTTTTACCATTGGTATGAGTAAAGAAAATTTCATTTTTAACATGTTGAAGGTATTCTATATATTATTATATATTACAGATGGAGAGTACATTGAGAGAACATAAAGACAATGTGGGTGGTACTTACAACAAATACAATATGTTAAAAGTAAGTAAATTCTGTCCTTTTAAAGGTATATATGATTGAGAAAATGTACCATGAGATTTTACAAGATAGGACACTTCTGCATAGAGATTCTCAATACATTTCTTACTTGCATGGAACAAATGCCTTTAAATAGTCTCACATTATCTTTTTGTATAAGAAAATCCCATGTCTTGCTGTCAGAATGCATGTGAAACAAACAGTGATTTCAATCAATATGAAATTCAGACCTTCTCCTTTTCATAGGGAAAGTCACATACACATGTACACAAATTAATAAATATCAGTAGAATAGGTGTGACACAGGCAGTTACAATCTTACACCAAAATAAATACATTAGAATTAAAAGGCACATTAATTAAAGGAAATATATTTTTAAATGTGTAATCTCAAATTTTGTTAAAGGCTTTTCATTAATTTCTACATATTTGTATGAGATATTGTAGACATTCATATTAAACAATGCATTGTATTCCAACAGATACAGAAGATCAGTAATAAAAGATTATGGGCTAGATACTGCCATAGACGGAAGGAAGTAGCTGAGGAGAATCATGGACATGAAAATGAGAGGCTCTTGTTTCATGGTTCTCCATTCCTTAATGCGATAGTTCAGAAAGGATTCGACGAAAGACATGCTTACATTGGGGGAATGTTTGGAGCAGGTATGTGTTAATTCAGCACCCATTCCTTCTTAAATCCTCTTATAGATGACAATGAACTTGTTAGATTAAAAAAAAATGGCTTTGAATTAAATTTCTGGAAATTAGATTAACAATATGGCACATTTAAATGGTTATTTTTTACTATTTTACTAGGTATATTTTACATTCTTTAGAAATATTTGCTTGAGTTTTATTTTCCTTTATTGACAGCAATAGCAAAAAAAAAAATAATTATGATATTGATTGAACAAAATGAATATTGTTTCAAAAATGTGAAAAAAGCAAACAAAAGGAAGTCAGATAGAGGTATTATAAGAGGACGCGACGCGTCTGTGAATGAACAAACAATCAATCGAATATATTTTAAGAAAATTAAATATAGAATGCTTTAATAGGGGTGTTAAAGCTTACTATTCATTCTAATCATACTCTTATTTTATTTATTTCAGGAATTTATTTTGCTGAAAATTCGTCCAAAAGTAATCAGTATGTGTATGGTATTGGTGGGGGGACAGGGTGTCCTGCTCATAAAGACAGATCATGTTATATATGTCAGAGGTAAGAAAACACAAGCCTAGTGAACTTACTCAGTACATTGTCACCAAAGATATATAAGAAGGGTAGAGTTGTCTCATTGGTACTCATACCACATCTTCTTATTCATATAGGTTGGGAAATTTGAATTTTTTTTTCCTCTGCTGTAGGCGTTAGGGGCACTACCCTTGATCTTCCGTCCTTCCGTCTTTCCGTCTGTTCCATTTTCAGAGCTTGATTGGGAACATTCGTGTTCTCAGACACCTGCTGGTGCACTGAAGTGAGACTGCATATTCAGAATGATTTCTTACTGGATGGAGGACTTGAACATAACACTTAAATGAATTATATGATAGAAGTTGAAATTTTAGTTGGTAATTGGCCTGAGAATCGAATATGTTATGTAGTTTGGGCTATGTATGGAACAGGAGCATGGTCACTTATCAGTTAGATGAATTTTCAAAATATCCTTACATATGAAATTAATGCAGAGCTGCAAAATGATTTAAAATAAAATAAGATTTGGTATGGTTGCCAATGAGACAGCTATCCACCATATGCCAAATGATATGGATGTAAACAACTGTAGGTCACTGAACTGCTTTCAACAATGAGCAAAACTCATACCGCATTACAGCTGTAAAAAGCCCTGTTCTGACAAAATGTGGAGTACAGTCGAACCTCATTGTGTCGAAAACTTTGATGAGGCGAAGTAATTGCTCAGTCCCGATAAAATTCCTGTTTAATCTATGCATAATTACTTCTGATGAGTCGAACTCAGTTGATTCATATACTCGGTTAAGTTGAGTAAATTTTATATTGATGTTAAAATTAATGTAAATTGACCCGGATGTCTCTAAGTTCGAAAGTAAGAATTTTCGAAAGATAATCTAATGATAAAAATTCAAGACGGAAGTATTTCTTATGTAACCTAATCATTTTCAAAAAAAATTAAAGCGGAGTAAACATACTTGTTTGTATAACAGTTAACAATGACATGTTTATGGTGACTGGTAATTAATTAGTTGATCATTCAAGTGTAAAGTAGTGTGTTGAACATATTTGACTTGACATAAAAATGAAACAAATTTAAATGACCCAAGCCGAGATTAAATGAATCTCAGAATTAAAACTTGTTAATTACAATAAATAAAAGGATTAAGACAATTATGATAAATTCATAATAATTTAATGTAAAGCAGACGACCTCATCAGAGACCATTCAGAACTTATTTCGTTCTGCGAATACTTTGGTCAGGTCCCTTCGACTTCGACACAACAAGGTTAGACTGTATATTAAAACATAAAATATACTTGGTATAAAGGATGGATATTAAATGAATAACACAAACCAAATAGAAAATATCCTGGGCAAGTAAGCCTCCATGAAATATATTCTGCAACATATGTATTGGAAGAGACTGTTAAGTAAGTCTGTAGATTTAAGAGTTGATTGAATACTTTTTATTTTTTCAGACAATTATTACTGTGTCGAGTGACGTTGGGAAAATCCTTCTTACAGTTTAGTGCAATAAAGATGGCCCATTCACCACCAGGCCATCATTCCATTATAGGGCGACCCAGTAGTGGAGGTCTGATGTTTCCAGAGTATGTTGTATACCGAGGAGAGCAGGTGTGTAGAGTATTGACATGTCAATTTATTATCTTGTAACAGTGGACAAGTCCTCCTGTTCATCTATTTTTGTCATGATGTTAGTGTTCATCTATGTTCTTCATATTTTTTGTATTCATCTATGTTTGTCATGATAAGCATTTGCACTAAAATCAAGTTATAAGCCATGACCAGTCATAGTAGGATGATACTCTTTTTACATGTCTTTTCTGAAAATAAAAATCTATACTCAAATATGGTTACCTTTACCTTTATTATACTCTTAAGTGGTTCCAGGTTTCTGATTTTTGTTTTGATTACTGAAAATGTAATGATGAACTCTATCTCTGGAGTACATTGTAAAAAAAATGCAATTTTATTTTAAGAGATGAGTTCTGTGATGAAGATAGGAAAATATGATATTGAACTATATCTCAAAGTATGTGGAAAAATTGTATTCAGTCTCTCCAGTATAGATATAAGGAATATGTATGTATGTATTGAAAATGTAAACCCTTTATCTTTTTTATCAATTTTAATGCTTTTAAATGCATGTATTTTTTTTACATTCCAGGCCTATCCAGAGTATTTGATAACATTTAAAATAGTAAAGCCAGACAACACAGAAGATAGTGCCAAGAAGTCATAGCAGGAGACATTTACTGTTGACAAAACCTTGTAGATCTGCTTTAATTTGTTAGACATAACAGTATTTTAATTGACAAACCATTTGTTTTATCATTCATGTTATGGTTGTTATCCAAATCAAATTTTTAGTAAGTCATTGTTGTGTACCCACACTTAAAATAAGGAGGGTCTAATACTATTGGTTCATGAGTTTTGTTGCCTAGGCTGTGGATCATTTATTCATTGGGCCATGTTATTCATAACTGTCTTATTAAAGGGGGGGTTCTTCATACTGGATCATCTTTGTTTTGCAATCTTTAATTTTTCCCAAGCCATTGAGCAGCTATAAATAAGATATGTGTGAAATTTAATGGAAAAATATGAAAGCCATGTCTAATATTAATTTTAATATAACTTGTGAAAGATCAGATTGGTATTCTGGAAGTTTCTTGTTCAAAAGCTATTCATTTTCATGGAGTTAATAGGGATAAACAAACTATCAAAAGAAACTCTACAAAAAAGCAGTATTTGTCCTTTTTGTAAGATTTTTTTTAAACTCAATGTAATGAAACAAAATTTTTTAAGACCATAAAAGTAAGGGTCCAAAAAATTGAATAAATCTGTACTAATATGGTTTTTATAAAAGTAGAGTTCGTAGTTAACTTTGAATAAATCAAAGATTGTGTTATGTGACATTTTATTTAGAAATCCATTAAATGCATGACAAAAAAAAAATAGGAAACATACCAAAGTTCTGATCATGTAGGGAAATTAACTGTCATGGTTCCTGAGAGCTGTTCCAAAATTGGTTGTTGTGGGAGGGATGGGGGACACTGAAATCAATAATTTGTAGGTGGTTGCATTTTCTTATAATTTTGCAAGAATTTGAAGTAAAATGAAAATTTTATTTTATGAATGTTTGGGTGTCGAAAAAAAAGTGTCCCCATGCATTTAATTCTGCAACAGCCCTGACACATAAGCCTTAATGCATGATTACAAATCCATATTTCAACATTTAAGGGGGTGTTTTCATTGTTGCTAAAAATGGTGAAAAAAATAACAAAAATATAATTCATCTTCAATATTTTTTAGCAATTTCATACCATCATATTTATTTTGTATATCAAACATGTGAAAAAATGTATGAATTTTAAGTTCAACACCAGTTTCTCATGGGTTATTCAGAAATGCCAAATAACATTGCTGAAATATTGGTTTTGGGATACATTGTATTATTAACTTCCCTCTAAGTCTTGGTGTTTTAACAAAAATATATGTGTTGTATCCATTGTTTATAATTATCTTGCCTTTATTTCTGTCTCTTATTTTCTATTTCCTATTTGCTCTGAATGTTATTCCCAATATTTTTTGTGTTTAATCTGTGTATTTCATGTTTGAATAAAAGAGTGAAACTGAAATGAGAGAAAGTATTTTAACATTTTCAAAAATTTCATATCAACTTGCAATACTATTATACATATCCATTAACCATCTGTAATATTTCATGATGATAAAGTGTGCACAATGTGTTACATTGTCTTTGAGTCAAAACCTTGGTACAAAATTAAAATAAGGACAAATTTAAGAAAACTTTAAGAATAACAGTAAGATAATGCATAGATTTTTCACTAGTTTTCTTGGTTGATCTAATTGAACATTTAGTTAGAAAAACAATTATATATATTACAAAAAATACAGATTGGAAATGGAAACAATTGTTCTTGTTACTGTTTTAAGTAATGGTTTTTATTTTCAATCAATATTAAATTTTCTTGCCTTTTTTACTGAGAGTGAATAAAGAGATTTGCTGTTTGATATTTCAAACAGAACAACAAAAACAAAACTTATTACTGCAAAAGGTTGTATTTTAAACAGATAATTTTACAACAAAAACTTCAGTGGCAATTTCATGGGTTAGTTGTGTTAACAAAATGTTTGAATACACAAAAGTTATAAGAGAACTACACGGCTGTTTTTAACTCATTTTCTGTTGAATCAAGTTTTACATGTGTTTTAGCTCAGTTATTTTTTTTTTTTTTTATTTGTCATTTATTTAATTTATAAGTTTTCAACGTAAATTAAAGATTTTAATTAAAGATGAAGAGAAATTACAACACTTTTGAAAGATGATCAGTTTGACAGCTGGTTTTTTTTATACGACCGCAAAAAAATTTTTGTGGTCGTATATTGGTATGACGTTGGCGTCGTCGTCGTCGTCGTCTGGCGTCGTCCGGCGTCGTCCGAAGACACATTGGTTTTCGCACTCTAACTTTAGTTTAAGTGAATGGATCTCTATGAAATTTTACCACAAGGTTCAATACCACAAAAGGAAGGTTGGGATTGATTTTGGGGGTTATGGTACTAACAGTAAAGGAATTAGGGGCCAAAAAGGGGCCAAAAATAAGCATTTTTGTAACTTCCAGACATAACTTGTGTGTTAGTGTATGGATCTCTCTGACATTGTACCACAAGGTTCCATATCACAAAAGGAATGCTGGGATTGATTTTGGGGGTAATTGCCTCAACATTTTAGGAATTAGGGGCCAAAAAAGGGGCAAAAAACAAGCATTTTTCTAGTTTCATGACAATAACTTGTGTGTAAGTATATGGATCTTTCTGAAATTGTACTACAAGGTTCCATATCACAAAAGGAAAGCTGGAATTGAGTTTGGGGGTAATTGCCGAAACGTTTAGGAATTGGGGGCCAAAAAGGGGCCAAAAATAAGCATTTTTCTAGTTTCAGGACAATAACTTGTGTGTAAGTGTATGGATCTTTCTGAAATTGTACTGCAAGGTTCCATATCACAAAGGGAAAGCTGGGTTTGAGTTTGGGGGTAATTGCCCTAAATGTTTAGGAATTTGGGGCCAAAAAGGGCCCAAAAAACACATTTTTCTAAATTCCAGACAATAACTTGTGTTCAAGTGTATGGATCTCTCTGAAATTGTACTGCAAGGTACCATACCACAAAGGGAAGGCTGGGATTGAGTTTGGGGGTGATGAATCATAAGGGGGTTCAAAAAATTTGGGGGGGGGATTTTTTTTTTTTCCTTTTTTTTCTTTTTTTCCTTTTTTTTTTCTTTTAAAATTTTCCTTTAAAGTTGGTTATTTCTGATTTATATTTAAAAGCAAATAATAATAATATGGTAGGAGATACACACCAAACAGGATGTGTAAATTATTATATAGTAAGTATTGTGCAATAGCAAGAAATTTTCAATTGCACAGTATTGCACAATAGCAAGAAATCTTCAATTGCACAGTATTGCGCAATAGCAAGAAATTTTCAATTGCACAGTATTGCGCAATAGCAAGAAATATTCAATAGCACAATATTGCGCAATAGCAAGAAATTGTCAATTGTACAGTATTGCGCAATAGCAAGAAATATTTAATTGCACAGTATTGTGCAAAAGAACTTCGTATAATTGCTTATTTCTTGACCAATTTCAATGGGGTTTTATTCTTGAATTCTTGGGGTTCTATAATATGCTGAATCTAACCGTGTATTTAGTTTTTGGATTTTGGGCCCCGTTTTTAAATTGGTCCACATTGAGGTCCAAAGGGTCCAAAATTAAACTTTGTTTGATTTCATCAAAAATTGAATTATTGGGGTTCTTTGATATGCCGAATCTAACCGTGTATTTAGATTCTTAATTTTTGGTTCCATTTTCAAATTGGTCTACATTAAGGTCCAAAGGGTCCAAAATTAAACTTAGTTTGATTTTAACAAAAATTGAATTCTTAGGGTTCTTTGATATGCTGAATCTAAAAATGTATTTAGATTTTTGATTATGGGCCCAGTTTTCAAGCTGGTCCAAATCGGGGTCCAAAATTAAACTTTGTTTGATTTCAACAAAAATTGAATATATGGGGTTGTTTGATATGCTGAATCTAACCATGTATTTAGATTTTTGATTTTTGGGCCCCGTTATCAACTTTGTCCACATTGAGGTCAAAAGGGTCCAAAATTAAACTTTGTTTGATTTCATCAAAAATTGAATTCTTGGGGTTCTTTGATATGCTGAATCTAACCATTATTTAGATTTTGGATATTGGACCATAATAGGTGAATGTCCAATTTAAAATTTTTAAGTTCTTAGACCACATTCAATCTGTGTTAGAAACCTATGCTGTGTCAAATATTTAATCACAATCCAAATGCAAAGCTGTATCAAGCTTGAATGTTGTGTCCATACTTGGCCCAACTGTTCAGGGTTCGACCTCTGCGGTCGTATCAAGCTGCGCCCTGCGGAGCATTTTATTTTCAGATATATTGAAACCATTTTTAAAAACAGATAAAATTCATGTGCCTACAATAAAAGAAATTGAAACAAACTAAACAGTCACAAAAAAAATTATTTAATGCTTTACTCATATAATACTAATGAGTGGATATGATACTATCAAACCTTAAAAGTTCACTTGTTTAAAAAAGCAAACATTTCTTCTGAAAAGTGAGTTTGATATGTCAGACAAGCATAGATATTGCTTGAACCATGTTTTTATGTATAGAAAACCAAATTATCCAGTTGTTGGGTTAATGTTTTAGAGCTTGCCATGTATTTAATTGTACATATTAGTTAACCAGTCTTTGTTACAATTGTATACATTGTATATAATGTAAACTAAATTATCTATTGTCATTAAATGTGAATCCGATTAAAACTCATATCTTGTTATTATGCTTCATTAACAGATTTCTTCATAGTACACACTTGCCACATTTTTCCATAAAACAATATTTTCTACAATATAAATAGAATAATACACACATTACAGTTTAATGTAAAACGGTACATAACACAAAACAAAATTCAAAGTAGAAATATCACAGATGAAGATCTCTCTTAGACATAGTTAAAAGCTAAACAATACACAAAACACAGTTCAATATAGAATTTTTTCAAATGAAGATCATGCATGCGACAATTGAATGCCACAAGGTACACAAAGCAGGGTTAAATGTAAAAATACAAGATGCAGATCTAGATCTCTCACAGGACACAGTTCAATGCCAAACGGAACACAAAAAACAGTTCAATATAGAAATGCAACGGATAAAGATCTTGCATAGGCAGCTCAATGCAAAACGGTACACAAAAACTTTAATATAGAAGTGTAACAGATGAAGATCTCCCATAGACATCTCTATGCAAAATGGTACACAAAAAATAGGTTCAATATAGAAATGTGATGGATGAAGATCTTGCTTAAACAGCTCAATGCAAAACGGTAAACAAAAACAGTTCAATATAGAAATGTAACAGATGAAGATCTCCCATAGACATCTCTTATGCAAAATGGTACACAAAAATCCGGTTCAATATAGAAATGTGACGGATGAAGATCTTGCTTAAACAGCTCAATGCAAAACGGTACACAAAACAGTTCAATACAGAAATGTAACGAATGAAGATCTCGCATAGACAGCTCATGGAAAACGGTACACAAAAAAAACAGTTCAATAATATAGAAATACAACTGATGAAGATCTCATATAAATAGTTAATTCAAAACAGTACTCAAAAACAGTTCAATATTGAAATGCAACAGATGAAGATCTCCCATAGACAGTTCACTGCAAAACGGTACAAAAAGCCTCATTCAATAGCAGTATATATTATATAAGTTTTAATATTCAAAAGGCTGACTTGATCTTTGTTTTCATTTGGTTATCGCTTACAGATATCTATTGCTTTTAGCTTACATTCACATTCTACGTCCATCTCTTTTCATGAAGTTGCATCTTTTGAATGTGACATTGTCTCTCTCATTTTCATTTGTTCCATTGTCACCTGAATTAAACCAAACATGTAGTGTTATCTGCAGATTAAGTGGTGGAACTTGTGTCCTACACATGTTCTATGACTTTTAAAAACGTTACATATACATGTACTGATTCTTTTTATAAGTTTCATACCAGAGCAGTTGTAGATATGAGTTCAACTTTGTGAACCACTGCCCGATTTTACAGTTGCACTGAATGATGTTCTTGTAACGTTATGGTCAACAGTCACATAGTTCTTAAGAAATTTAAACGGTAACTATAATGTCTTTTAAATTGAGGCAACATTAGTTTACCGATGTTCAAATCTCATTAACCGATTACGAAGATAAAATTCAATGTTTTGAAAAAAATAAAATAACAAAAAATACCGAACTCCAAGGAAAATTCAAACACATACCGAGGGAACCACATGAACTCCAAAAGTATCAAGAATGGGTGCATCTTGTTTGTTATTCTTATAATTTTAAAGTTTGAAAATGTAATAAAAAAGTCATTTCACAATGTTTAATAAACGGTTAAATGATCATTGTGATTATGAAACTCTTTTAAATCAAGGTCTTAGCACAATGAGGTCAAGGTGATATGAATCCTGTCGGACTGACATGCACACATTGCAGTCTTCAATACCGAATATAGTTTACCAGTAGTATCTAAGAAACAGACCTAATTGCGAAAACTTAACGTTTAGGAACCATGAAACTACTGTACTAAAATAACTGAATTTATCACATGATAAAAAAAACCTATCCTGTTATTCAGCAGTCGTTTAAACATGAAAATTAGGTTAAGGACAAAGGTAATACTCCAGACGGAAAATTCAGACCATAAGACATCCTTATACAAGATATGAATTACCAAGCTTTCATACCTTCTGGAATAAAAGCTATATACACATGGTTTACATCCATATTAACATCCCTAATGTATCTATTTCTGTATCATTCGTCGCAAGCGAGACAATAAAGTTTACAATACGATGCACAAATGGTTCCTTGACACTGCTAAACCAAATACCTGAGATTCTTACCCAACGTTGGCCTTGTGACGTAATCAAAATTCAAAATATACATGCAACAATTTAAGGGACAATCAACTACCAAAAGAGAAAAAAAAAGAGTCAGAGAAAACCATGATTATAAGAAAAAAGGCAAACACTTAACTGAATTCCAGATTAGAACATGTCGGTCGATCTATGAAACAGATATTCCATAACGGTAAACCAACTCGTGATGGCGTCCGTAAAATTTTCAAAGGGATGACTTCAACTTCAACACTTGGAATAATTTGGTTTAAAAGCTTCATTGTAAGCAGCAACACTCTATCAAGGAAATCATAAAGGGAAATGCAATCTCTGGAATATAGTATCAACTGGGAGATATATACTCCATATGCAGGCGCTGATGGTATGTTGCTACATAGACATGGAAAGTTCAGAATTGGGAAGCTGAAGTCATCTCTTTTGTCGTAAAGTTTTGATCTCAATAGACCCTTATTGTCAATTTTTAGATGTGAGTCAAGATATGAGGCAGGCTTATCTGTATCTATTGTATCCTTAATTTCAAGTGCGATTGGGTAGATGCGTTCAACATAGTAACCAAACTTTGATTTGTTTAGTGAGAGGACATCATCAATATAGCGGAACGTGCAGTTAAAGGATACTTCTATTATCTTTTGGGTCTTCCTAAGAAGCCCCTGTATGATTTCAGCCTCGTACGAATAAAGGAACAAGTCGGCAAGACGATAAGTACAGTCGGATCCTATATCGACTGTGTTGAAAAAACACGTCCTCTAAGCGAAACAAACGTATTATAAATAAAAAAAATCAAGCATCTTGATAGTGTCATTGTCAGAGCATTTTTTGTTGGAATCTTTTACAAAATACGACTTATCACTCCAAAAGACAAGATATTGGCCATTCTTTTTTTATGAAACATTTAGCGATCAATTGTAAAAATTCTTTTGATGTTGCATTCCGTGATGTCACAAACGCGAAAAAGACATCGGAATGTGTACACGACGAGTGCAACATATATTCCTGGTCATCTATGATATTCCATAAAGATCAACGAAACATAAAAGTACCAGTAAAACTTTCGAATTGACTTCAACTTCATCATTAAGAATCAATGGCCCAATATGATCATTGCATTGGTATAAATGATCTTGATTACTCATATCAATTGGTTGGTTGGTTTAAAAAGGATAAGTCCTATATCTGTTTACAATTTGTTTTATGCACATATACATGTATGTAAAGGTAACCTTGGTATGCTTGACTTAAATTCAGAGATCATTCATCTTTTGAGTATCATTCATTATTTTTGTGTACCCTTGTCTAAAACAAAAACATGCTATGCACCAACTTCATACAGCAGATGTCTGGATGGTAGACTTATGTCGCATCCAAGTGGTGATTTCATTTTGGCTTTCTTATGTTTTGCCTTCGATAAAGAAGAAGTAAAACACATTTCCTTTTGGATTCCGAACGACAACCTGTTTAAACTTCCACCAAAAAAGTTGTAAGGAAATACTGAACATAGATCCAGTTCAAATATGATCCATTTCACTTGTCTTCCAAAAGTTGTGTCCTTTCATAAAGTAGAAAATATCTTTAAAAGACCTTCTCCAAATCATTTAAAATTTGGAATTGATGTTGGGACCACTAGACTCAAATTCAGCTCGATATTGACCGATTTCAATTTGAGGTTTTCAATAATCAGGACCCTTGATAAATAGGAAAAAAAGCTTCTTTTTTGGTTTTCGACAATTTCTGGGGAAATTATGGACCAAATCATTTGAAATTTGGGAATGTTTTGAGGGTTTTCTTATACACTGATCAATTTCAAATTTGACGGGTTTCCTTCTTGTTGTTCTTGGCTAATACTTGATAATGTGAAAAAATTCGCTGATAGTTTACAGGTTACAGAGATGGAGTTGCAAATCCATAGTAGCTTATACAGAGAATGGTAATGCACACATAAAGTTTTTTTTCTTTTTTTTTTGTTTAAGAAAAACTGAAGAAAGTACGGATGTAGCTCCTACCTTCATTATAATTATTTGAGTCCCATGGACACATTCTGTGTGTGTGTGTGTTTTTATTTTATTTTTTGGGGGGGGGGGGGGGGGGGTCGGGCGCATTGTGTATTCTTCAATACCAATTGTTTGAATGAGATGTTCAGTAAGTTTCT